GATCCTAACCCACAGAACTCAGGATATTGTTAGACAGTAGCTAGTTTTTCTTCTCTTCTTTTCTTTCTCTCCAGAGTCTACAATATTAATCCCTTGAGGTTAACATTCATTCCTGCATAGCCTGTATTCCATCTGACACTTAGTGGTAGTATTTAATCTTAATACCAGCTACCCGTAAGCGACCACTTGGGGTGGATACGCATACGGGTGATATTTCGCTGAGCTTAGCAGAAGCAAAAAGATTTAGCTTTCAAGAAGGCTTAAGAAGATACCTATAGCTAGGTCTATATAGGGATATAGGCGATAAAGAGGGGTAGGGGAATTTAACCTCCCCCCACCCCCCCTGTAAGAATATACTGTTTCAGGTGTAAGGCCTGTCAACCGGGTAAGATACGTTGGCTTCGGAGGAGGAACAAAGGTGTATTGGGCTGTGTGTGCCAAGACTAATTCTTGCCAGAATTCAGGGGTCCCGGGGGACCCAAGATTAAAAGGAAATGTGCGTGCCAAGGCTCGGCGCCGATCGGGTGACGAACCCCGCACGATTCACACACGTGTCAAAACTTCTATGAATACATATGTCGCCCAAGTTCCTGTTTCACCTTTGAAAGGACCTTTATCCTTTACACCCCCACCCCTAAGGGGGTGGGGGGGTAGGGGAGGAATTATAATACTTGACTAAGATATTAGTCCTAGAGAGAGAGTATTAGCTATATAGGCAGCTGCTAAGCTAGCTAGTAGCTAGATTAGTAGCTAGTAGCTAGTAGCTAGATTAGGAGCTAGGAGCTAGATTAGGAGCTAGGAGCTAGGTTAGTAGCTAGGAGCTAGGTTAGTAGCTAGGAGCTAGGTTAGTAGCTAGGAGCTAGGTTAGTAGGTAGCTTAGTAGGTAGCTTAGTAGGTAGCTTAGTAGGTAGCTTAATAGCTAGCTTAGTATCTAGTAGGTAGTTTACTATCTAGGCTACTATCTAGCTTAGTAGCTAGCTAGGCTACTATCTAGATTAGTAGCTAGTTTAGTAGCTAGCTTAGTAGGTAGTTTATAGCTAGCTTAGTAGGTAGTTTACTATCTAGGCTACTATCTAGCTTAGCAGCTAGTTTAGTAGCTAGCTTAGTAGGTAGTTTATAGCTAGCTTAGTAGGTAGTTTATAGCTAGCTTAGTATCTAGCTTAGCAGCTAGTTTAGTAGCTAGCTTAGTAGGTAGTTTATAGCTAGCTTAGTAGGTAGTTTATAGCTAGCTTAGTAGGTAGTTTATAGCTAGCTTAGTATCTAGTAGGTAGTTTACTATCTAGGCTACTATCTAGCTTAGCAGCTAGTTTAGTAGCTAGCTTAGTAGGTAGTTTATAGCTAGCTTAGTAGGTAGTTTAGTAGCTAGCTTAGTATTTAGTAGGTAGTTTACTATCTAGCTTAGTATCTAGTAGGTAGTTTACTATCTAGGCTACTATCTAGCTTAGTAGCTAGATTACCCGCCTAATTAATAGCTAGTTAGTAGGTAGTTTAGTAGGTAGTTTAGTAGGTAGTTTAGTAGCTAGCTTAGTATCTAGTAGGTAGTTTACTATCTAGGCTACTATCTAGCTTAGCAGCTAGTTTAGTAGCTAGCTTAGTAGGTAGTTTAGTAGCTAGCTTAGTATCTAGTAGGTAGTTTACTATCTAGGCTACTATCTAGATTAGTAGCTAGTTTAGCAGCTAGGTTAGTAGCTAGATTACCCGCTTAATTAATAGCTAGTTAGTAGGTAGATTAGTAGTTTAGTTAGCTTACTATCTAGATTAGGGGGTTAGATTACTATCTAGACTATTATATAGCTAAGATAGTCTATAATCTAATCTAATCTAGATTATAGATCGAGTATCTAATCTAAATAATCTACTAATCGATCTAATCTAATCTAATCTAGATTTTACTATCGAGTATCTAATCTAATCGATCTAATCTAATCTAGATTCTAATCTAATCGATCTACTAATCGGTAGTCTAATTAAAGTAATTTATTTTTATTTTAGTCGGAGCCGGGTTCGAACACGCGACTTTTAAGATATATATCGTATTTAACCACTACGCTATATACCTAGTTTTTTCTATATTTATCCTATACTTACCTATAACCGTACTCTTTAGTTAGTAGAACCCCTATACTATTACCGGATTATATAGCGGTATAAGCGCTTACTAATACTTATAGTAGCTAGGGTTTAAACCCTCTTTTAATTAGGAGGTAATACCTAAGTATCTTATCTAGGCTTACTTTTATACCGTTCTATATATATATATATATATAATTCGCTTAGTAAAGTTAAATTAAATTAAATACGTAACCTTAGAATTATATCGTAATTACGTAATCGCCGCCGAATCCGGCGTAGATTAGATATATCCCGGGATTACGTAATATAGCTAGTTAGTGCCTTAGGCTATTGATTATATAGTGATCACGTGATCGCTATCTAATCCGGCGTAGATTAGATATATTACCGCCTAATCCGGCGTTAATTAGATATATCACGTGATATATTACGTAATATAGGTAGTTAGTACCTTAGGCGCCTTAGGCTACTTATTATATAGTGATAGCCGCCTAATCCGGCGTAGATCGGTATATATCACGTGATTATAGGGTACTCACGTGATCGCCGCTTAATCCGGCGTAGATCGGTATATATCACGTGATTATAGGGTGCTTACGTAATCGCCGCCTAATCCGGCGTAGATCGGTATATATCACGTGATTATAGGGTGCTCACGTGATCGCCGCCTAATCCGGCGTGGATCGGTATATATCACGTGATTATAGGGTGCTCACGTGATCGCCGCCTAATCCGGCGTGGATCGGTATATATCACGTGATTATAGGGTGCTCACGTAATCGCCGCCTAATCCGGCGTGGATCGGTATATATCACGTGATTATAGGGTGCTCACGTGATCGCCGCCTAATCCGGCGTGGATCGGTATATATCACGTAATTATAGGGTGCTCACGTGATCGCCGCCTAATCCTAAGTGGATCGGTGTATTTCACGTGATCTATATATATATCACGTGCTTTATCAGGCACCAAGGTATCTATATCTCAAAGTCGAATCACGTGACTAACCCTACCCTGATCACATGAGGAGTGAATTCTACAGCCAATCAGAGGCCAGGATCTCAGAATTCGCAAGGCGGGTTTTTTGGCATAGTATTCTTGACTATATTGCCTGTATTATTTGCTTCGCTTACGCTCAGCAAAATAATATAGAGAGACGTGGTTACTATATTCCTAAACTCAGTGCTTTAAAGTAAGGTTTATACTAAGTACCCGTAAGGATTCGAAGTATAAGGTTAATACTAGCTGCTCTATAGAGCCCTCTATAGCTTACGAATATTACTAAGATTATAGTAGTAAGAAGTAATAAGGATACTAGTAAAGCTAGGTCTTACCCCGGTACCGGAAGATCCGTATATCTTTATTAAGAATAGTATTATCGTCTTCTTCTATATAGACGATATTATCGTTATAAATTATCTAAAGTATACTAAGTAGGTAGCTAAACTAGATAACGATATTAAGAAGCAATAGGAATTACGAGAACTAGAAGCAAACTAGTTCTTAAATATCTGTATTATTAGAGATAGAGATTAGATAAAACTCTAGCTATACTAAGATAGCTATATTAAAAGCATAGTAGCTAAATATAGCTTAATCACTACTAGGAAGGTAGGGTCCCTAATAAGTATAGGGACGGGGATTAAACCCCTTCTTCCATTCGATAGAGTAGTATCGCCGAGTTAGATTCATAGTTTCTAGGCTAAGGTTGGATCTGCTTAGTATACTACTACCATCTCCCGGCTAGATATAGCAAAAGCTATAGCTAAGCTAGCTAAGTTTCTAATAAACCCCGGTCCGAAGTATATCGATGCTATCGACCGAGTGATTCAATATCTCTATAAAACTAGGTTCTAGGCTATCGAGTATAGTATTAGACGATAAGAATCGGATAGAAAGGCGTCTTCTCTATAGGACTAAAACAAAAACCTCGGTTTAGAAGAATCAAAGGGTCTCTAGTTCGCTATAAAATCAGTTGAATTTGTAAGCGATACGTCTTTCGGAGATAATAAAGATAGGAAGAGTTCGGAAGGATATATCTATAAGTTGTATAGTGGTCTAATCGATTAGAAAGCTTCTAAATAGAAGATAGTGACCACGTCGACAACTAAAGCAGAGCTTCTTATACTAGCAGAAGTAGGAAAAACCGTCTAATAGTAGCGTCGAGTCCTTAAAGCACTAGGCTTCTAACCAGATCATCCCTTATCTATTATATACGACAATCAGTAGACAGTCGATCTATTAACGAAGGAAGGATCGACGATATATACGAAGCTGCGGTATGTGGATATCAATCGATCCTAGATGAAGTAGGAAGTTAGTATAGGTAGAGTCAATATAGACTAGGGTTCTAACTGCAGCGATGCCTGCAGATGGACTTACAAAGGCGCTTCCAAGACAGAAGCAGCATCTCTTCCGAGAGATGATTGGGATGAGAGAAATCAGGCATCTGATTCATCCAGAAGAAGTGAAGAAATGAAGGATTTGGCAGCTCTGAAAGCCAAGAAAATGCAGGCTTTAAGAGCTAGGGGGTGTGTCAAATTGCAAGGTTGCATACATGGGATGATACCATACAGATTATGTAATCTAGCTTAGTCATAACCGCACAGAAACAGCAGTTTCTATTATGTAGAAAATGCAGAGTTCTCCATATCAGCCCTGAGGTGCATACATTTCAATACGTCAGATTTCTGTCAGGTACCCCAAAGTCGGAAATAGTTGTAAAGGTGACTAAGGTCTTGGCAGTGGGCCTAAGAAAAGAGTTATTCACTGTGCATTGATCAAGCCGATTCCGGGAACGACTTAATGTGGCTTTGAACTTGCTGGCTCTGAAGAAAAAGAAAGAGGCTTCGTGCTATAGTCAAACGTTATAAGATGGCCGGCGGGCTCCATTAGCGAGTGACCCAACGCCATAGACCTGATAGGTAATGGAGCTCTTATCGTTTTGTGCTATTTCCATAGGTGGATTTTTCGCAATACTCGTCCTTGTTCGCCTAGCCTCCTTCTTTACTGAATCTGCAGATGTCGTATCTCTTTTTCTTTCGAAGCATTTGATTTACCCCTATTTAGTGGACCGCCACCGGATTTATGGCCCTTGGAGTCGAGCTAATTTCTTGTTATGTTTTGCATATGCTATATTGAATGTATTCTTCATATCATTCAATGCTGCCAATGCAGAAATCGCTGGCTATCGAGCGGGGACGCTGGCAGTTATAAATTTGGCTTTGTTAATTCCTACCACGCACTTGGGCTTCCTTGCTGATATTATTGGGCTTTCTTTGGTAGCTTGCAGACGAATGCACCGGGTTGTTGGTTGGACATCAGGCATTCTCCTTGCCTTCCACGTCACGTTGGCCATGACGGTTCACAAACGTAAATGGCAGTTGAGTAATCAAAGCAATTTGTTTGCTCTTTTTGTATTTCTCACGCCCACTAAAATGCCTGATTGAAGCTAACTCAACGCAGGGCGCTGTGTCCATGGCCGGTCTTGTGCTTCTTTCTTTACTCTTCATCCGCCGACGATTTTTCGAGATATTTATCAGAGCACATCAGTTGCTTGCCGGAGTTTTTATTTACTCCACCTGGCGTCATTTAACGGCCACTGCCTTTGAGCCACGGATATATATTTGCATATCGCTCGGGATACTATCCATTACAACAGTTGTGCATGTTGCTTTTTTCACGTTTCGAAATGGGATCTTTCCGTCACGATCTCACCCACGCGCATACATTACCTGCAAGAAACACAAAAAGGAATCACGTGAAAAAGCCACACAAGAACCAAACAGTCTTGGCCAAGCGGGCGTGCCACTCAAGATCCGCGTGGTCCTGCCCCGTCCGATGAAGGTAAAAGCAGGCCAATATGTGAACCTCTGGATGCCTACCGTGAGCCTTCTTTCTTGGGCGCAGTCCCATCCGTTCATGGTGACGTCTTGGTCTCCAGAGAAACAGGATGTTTTAGAACTCTTCGTGCAATCACAGCGAGGGCTTACGATGAGTCTTCATGCCTGTGCAGCGTTTGATGGCTTTGCGTCATACACTGCCTTCGTGAGCGGACCGTACGGTACTAGCCAGTCTACTGATGATTATGAGTGTGTGCTGGCTATTGCGACCGATTTTGGAATTGCTGGGATCATTCCATACCTGAAAAAGCTTTTCTATGGCTATAATACCTCTACGTCATATGTGCGTCGCGTACATTTTGTGTGGAAGGTGCAGACGAAGGGTGAGAAGAACGCTCTTGTGATCAAAACACAACTAAACAAAGCTTGGTTATAGAAATTGCTGTTGCTGCTCAGCCATTGCTGAATGAACTTCTTAGTGATGATGTTTTGGATAACGGCTATGTGAGTAAATACCCTGTTTTAGTTACTAGTATATTGACTTGATACAAGATCTTGAAAATATCGTTTTATTTAGCGTTTGAGAATCCTATAAACGCATTCGGGAACCATGGCAGGGCATCTGTGTTCAACACCAGTCCCAACTATGAACGTATTGTTTCGGAGGAGGCGTCCAGAAGCCATATTGCGAGACTTCTAGTCACAAGCGAGGAACCAGGAAAGACACTTGTCTTGGGTGAGCCTCGTTCTTCTTCGCCGATGAATGGTTTATTGATGATTCGCAGTATCCGCCACCCCTCAAGTGCGAGACGAGTTGAGAGGGGTTGTTTGTAAGAACTTGGATCGGAAATTATGTCTGCATGAAACAGATTTTCAGCCAGTTTGATAAAGCCATTTCTCATTTTGAATTAATCCAGGGCCCAGCGTCAATATTTCGGGAGCTCTCTGCGCAATACTCTCGTTCAATACTAATCTGTATTGGACTTTGATCTACGGAAATGAAATCTAGTTTACCAATCCAGCCAATGTGTGTAGTATGTGTTTTAAATCATCTACATCTATGTACCCTTCGCATAGTGATATACAGCCTACCGTAACTGTGCATGTGCTGTATGTATATGTAATCTGCATTTCACTATATTGAACAATATATGTATGTAACCTATGATATAACAGTGTCAGGCCTATTGTAGTCTCAGATTGCCCCATGTGCCGGAGTTAAACGCATCTGACTTTTCTTCAGTCGGCATCATCTCGCTCCTGCTGAACTCGTTAAGCTCTCTTGGTGCTCCTTTCTTGCGATCCAAACCTTTGATGATTGAACCTCGCCTGGCTAGCCATTTTCTGCATTTGTGAATTTCAATATGTGCAGCCATTCACGTGGTATCTTATAGCCTCTCTTCCATTGCAGCATCCTGTACTGTAGCTCAAGCCTCAGTCGGACATTTGATGTGTTTGCTAACGTCACAGGATTACTTTAGTGATGACAAGCAGATTGCTGCGTTCGTGGTTTTACAGGAACTAAATCAGTAGTTTTTTGTTAATAGAGCTACCTGGGGTATGGGAAGCCCTACTGTTCAGAAAATGTAGAGAAATAGATTCACTTCCATGCACATAGTTAGCAAAAGAGATGCCCCATCCGAGTCGGGGCTTAGAGCACACTAGCCCGCCAAAACTTTTTAAATTTGCCCTCCCCAGCCGTTTCAATATTGCAGATATATTCACCAACAATATGTGGAATTCTACCAAGTTTCGCTGCCTCTGGACAAGACGAAACTACCCTTAGCATCTGTTTACTGTCCCTTCATCACTATGGGCATGAGTGGGTAAAGTGAGGGGCAAAATCCTTTTCTTTAAAACAAAAAAGAACAAAATTTCAAGTTCCTCGCGCCCAATGAATGACTCGATGCCATGCAGACCTAAGCCCAGTTCACCGGGCGAAAACCTAAAGCTCGTATTGAAATAGAGTGGCAGCGCAGAACCCTCACGTGGCACTATGCGAGAAAGAAAAATAAACAAAATGTAACAAACCCGAGAGTTCAATAGCGGTAGAAAGATCCCGCCTGACGAGGTTTTGGAAAGACTTTCATTTGTCATCACACAAAGCCTTGCTAGTGATAGCATATCCTAGGGATTCAGAATAAGTGGAGAGAGTCAAGTAGAACCGCCTCGCGGGACAGCATCGTCGAAGGGGTGTTGGGGTTTGCGAACGCATCACAGGGGTCTCAAACAACGGGCTTGGATGGTATCTTAATAACAGAACGGCTAGCTGGCCATGGCAGATCTTGATGAGTCCAAGTTTGCTTTCACGTGTTAGTGCACTTTACGTAGAATTGCATTGATATATACTGTTGTAAATCCACAAAAGGGATGGAAAGTATAACACTTGAAACGTGCATATTTGGAAGGGGAGTGCAATGTCTAAAGATCTTAATAATATGACTTAGTTTGTAGTTACAGGCACAAATATGGCTTCCTTTCGAGTTGGGGAAGGACACCAAACCAGTTGATTGGTGAACATGCCTCATCTTTGCTCACAATGCGGTCTAAAAGTGTGCTGTGTTGGAAGAGTTATTTGACGAGGTTCAAATCAGTAATCAGTAATCAAGATCAGACTAGCAAATAACAACAGTTGTGGGTTAGGCTTGCGGGGAGAAATCAGGTATCGTGCGAGTAACAAATCTTCGCAGAAAGCATAACCGTTCTCGCTAGCAGAACCAGTCGGCCCTGGGACCGGTTCTTGTTAATGAAGAGTGAATGCTGCAAATAATTAGTACAAGAACTGTGATCCAATGGGAGGTCCGTTTACCTCCTTCAAGGCTTCCATTGATGTTGCAGTGGATATTGCCAAGAGAAAGCCAAAGGCAGCTGAATCCACGGGCCATCGACCCAAATCATCGACTCCCACCATCCCGTTATCCTTTATATATTTCTGCATAAGCTCCATGGCAATACCTGCAAGAGACTTGATATGTTTGCTTTGGGTCTGACTAGGTGACCTTCTCTCACAGGACTCCAAGTTTGCTGCGAAATCTTTCAGTATTGAGATTTCAGCAAAATAAATTAACTTACCAATTTTAATCGCACCATCGAGGCCCAAAAGAATGCATTGACATATCATTGACTGATGTTCCCAACCATTCTCACTAAGGTAACAGGCGCCATTGAGGGTCTTACACATCAACAAGTATCCTGTCTTTGAAGTGCAAGAGGTGACATACCTGCCAAAGCATTGAGGCAAGTTCGCATTCAGACGGGTAAAAGGTTCGACACCCGACAAGATGTTCCAAAGTAAGGGGCAAGTCGTCAACTAGGGCAAACATGGAACTTTCATCCATGAAGCACTCTCGTGCAGACAATATATTTTCGTGTCTTAGGTGACTGTACAGCTCAACCATTTTGTCCGCATCTCTCTTTTGATATTCCCTAATGGCAATCACCCGTGACGGGTTGGAATGATGAGTGGCAATGATAACCTTGCCTGCAATTATACAAGAGATAGTTCGCCGATATGTATCCCATGGAGACTCATACCTCACGATGCAAGAATGAGAACCTTGGGCGTTCTCACTTACTTGAGGTAACCCCAAAGCCTTCGGGCCTCCCTTGATTACTTTCCTTATTTTCTTACTAAGCGGAGGATGGGTTTCCTTTTTTGTATCTTGCAACGGTTGGTGTTGTTGTGTTGCCCCATCCAACTGAGCTGGCTCGTTCAAAGTTCCCGTAAAATCAATCCTCGTAAGTCGATTACTAACATCATTTGACATGACTGATGCGTTTCCAAAGGACAAGGGTTCAAAGCGTTGTCAATCATAACTAGGGAAACTACAACGTTTATAAGTACAAGTGTCTTATATGTCAAAGTGCAGGGTTGCATACATGGATTTACATGGTATTATACCATGGAAGATTATGTAATCATAGCTTAGTCATAAACCGCACAGAAACAGCAGTTTCTATTATATAGAAAATGCAGAGTTCTCTATATCAGCCCTGAGGTATATATATTTCAATACGTTAGATTTCTGTTAGTTATAAGCCCGGCTTTATTCTATTAATCAATTTAAAGATCAACCCTACTTCTAATCGATACTAAGGTAATTTACCTAGCGACGAAGCAACCCCTAAATCGAAGAAAAATCGGAAATCTATCTAAATCATAGCCGATTATCTCTCCGCGGGTTTATCCTCCCGCGTTATCCTTAAGGACACCGAAACTTAGGATATATAGATCGCTAATATCGAATCGATTATAGTACAATTTAACGTTTAGGAGCTATATAATCCTAGTAAGGAAAAAGAACCGGAGATATAGAAAGCTCCGGTAGAGATTATATCGATTAAAGAAGCGGAAAAGAAATATAGCGATAAATAGGTCGATACTTATAAAGTAATTTAATCGAACTAGTCGATAAAGAATATATTTTATACCTAGGAAAAGAAGGGGTTAAGTATAATTATAATAGTAATCCGGAATAGCGTTTACGTAAACTTCTAGCTATTTATTATAGACTATAAAACTCTATATAGTCTACTCTAAAACCTTCGAGAAAGGTTCGCCTCGGAGTATAATCCGACCTATTCTACTAGGCTCTGTTAATAATAGAGAAGCCTAGATAGAGGGTTAAATAAAAATATAAATATCGATAAATAGCTATTAAACTAGGAGATAGTCTAATTAAGCTATAAAAGAGTAGGAATATTAGAAGTAAATAATACTTCGACTTAGTTCCTTAATATTATCTTAGTAATATTACCTAGATTCTACGAGATATAGACTCTAAGACTATAAGATAAAGAAGATATTAGATTTACTAAGCTTCTTAACCGGTATCGAGTATACTAGAAGATTACCTATAGTAAGCTAGTTACTAATTAACGGGGTATCTCTAAAGCTACTTTTTCGACTTAGTAAGGCTACGAAGAAGTAAAGCTAGCTAAGATAAAGTTAGCTAATATAAAGTTAGCTAGAGAAGAACTACTATTTAAATTAAAGCTATATCTATATAAATAGAACTATAGACGATATCTAGCTTAGAAGTATTAGGATATCTTTAATAAGGATAAACCCTCTAGATATACTAGAAATAAGGAAGCTAAGTAGAAATAGGAGAAAGCTATAAAGGCTAACCCTATTTAGAAAGCCTAGATTAATAAAAGGCGTTAAGAGAACCTATAAAGGAAGGTAGTATAGTAAGCAAATACTATCCTTAATAACGAAGATAATTTATTATATAGGTTCTTCTCTATATAAGCTACTAAGCTATAGACCGGCGTACTAAAGGTAGGTAAGCCTTAGGTAAGTAAGCCCTAGATAAGTAAGCCGGCGGCTAGTAAGTAAGCTATTCTAACCTCTACTAATATTATATCTACCCGAATTTAGGATACTAAGATCGAACCGATCGGAAAGCGGTAGGTAGTTAATACTAGCGTATAGATATATATCTATAATAATTAGGAGTTATTTAAAACTTTCGAAGATATATAGAGTAGTATTAGGGTAGGAGATACGGAAATAAGTATCGACGAGGTAGGCACTATAATAATCTATAATATTAGTATAATCGATAGTAATAAAGTAGTTAAAATAAAGCTATATAATACTAAGTACTCGCCTAATTTCTATAGTAATCTAATATCTAATAGATTAATAATAAAAGTAGGGCTAGTAATAAACTTTAGAAAGAACTATATTAAGATAACTATTAAAAAACCGGTATATAGAGTATATTAGGACTAAAAGTTAATATAGTTAATATAACTAAAGGGCTTCTAGAGCCTTAAGATATTAAAGGATATAGCTCTTATTATAAAGAAATTAATAAGTAAGCTAAAGTTAGAAGCTTTAATTTAAACTTAGTATAGGTATTTAGGCTATATTAGTTAGTAACGTCTTACTAAGCTAGTAGAGATAATTAAGGGGATTACTATTAAAAGCAATCTTAGTAAGGAGTAGGTATATAAAGCTTATTAATTAGTAGATACCCTAAAGTAGATCTCCCGCCGGAAGATAGGAGAGATATATAATATCTTTAAAAGGGTCTATTTCGACCTAATATAGAATTAAATAGCTTATAATAGGTATATTTAGTTAATATATTTTTATCTTAATAGTATTAGATATTATTTTGTCTTTACCTATACTAAGAAGAATAATTACTAGATTATTATTAGGAAGTTCTTAGTATTAATTAAGAACTAGCTAAAGATCGAGATTAGGATATTCTACTATAATAATAAGCGGAGTACGGGTCTCGAGGTTAAAGTAATAATAAAAGCTAAGGAATATATAATTAAGTATTCGCTAGCTAGCTTACCGGAGATAAATAGTCCTACCGAGAGATCTAGGGGGATAGTAGTAAGAACTACTAGAGTTCTAATTAATAATATAGATCTCCCTAAGAACCTATAGCTAGAGGTAATATATATAGTAATATATATCCTTAATAGGACTCCGATAAAGATTAGAGATTAATAGATTATACCTTAGAAAGAACTAATAAAGTATACCGTACTAGATAGTATCTATTACTAAGAAATCAACCTTTTAAATATAAGGTTATATAGCTATCTAATATACTTAAGGATTATTAAGAGAGTATAATCGGATAAGATAGTACCTAGAATAGAGATAGGATATCTTATAAGATATATCTCTAAGAACTTATATAAGATATAGTTCCTCTATAAAAGTTATAATAAAAGGGTAGACGTCGTTAGAGATACCGTTTTCGATAAATTAAAGAAGTATTCGAAATTAATATCGATACCTAAGGAAGAAGATACTATTAGTATTATAATAGATAGACTAGATATATAGCTATAGGTACTTACTAATAATAAAGTATAGGCTAAGATTAGTACCTAGATAGAAATACCTAGATTAATAGCTAGGATAGTACTATATAATAAAACTAAGTATACTAAGTAAGCTAGAGATAATATAATTAATATAGCTATTAATATAGCTAATAATATAGCTAATAATATAATTAATATAGCTAATAATCTAATTAATAGAAATAATAGAAATAATAATAAAGAAGAGGTTAGGTAAAGAACCCTACTATAGGTTAGAAAGGAAGTAGTTAGATTGCCTACCCTATAATTAATAATTAGACTAAGGGAGTAAATAAAAGAGTAAATAAATCTATAGAGAGGCCTATTAAAAAGCTTTCTAGGAAGCTTCCTAAATATACTATCCTCCCTATTATTATTAAGATTATTAATATTATTATTAAACCCTCCGATTCTATTAAATCTATCGATCCTATCGAATCCGGAGCCCTAAGAAGTATTATCGTTACTAGATCCGATCTCCGTAATCCTATCGATTGAAACTAGGGGGTAGATAGGGATATAGAAGTAAAAAATAATAAAGTAAGTAATAATAAAATAGAGATAAAGAGATAGCTATAAAGAAAAATAGTATACTTACTAGTACTATTATCGTCGTCCTACTAAGAACTATTCTATTAAGCGTCCTTCTAAGTATTATTATTATTATCCTAATAAGTACTAAAAGATATATTAGGTAATATAGATATATTAAATATTATTACTAATAGTAGATCTAGGAGACTAAGGACGGATCTAGATTATACTACCTACCTATTTCTTAATCTACTAAGCTTATTTTATACCTTCTCTATAGATATAAGTAAAAGATTCGATAAAAAGCTTTACCGAGATAAACTTCCCCCGCTACTAGAGAACTAGGTATAGATTAAGAAGTACTAGTTCGGAGAAGGATTTATAGTAGCGGTAAGCTTCGAAGTTTATACGCTTAAAAAGAAAGAAACCTATACTAAAGTATCTATTCCGAATTAAAATTAGAGAGGAATCTAGGTACTACCTTTAAAATAGGTCTTTATCTATAAATTTAATATAAATAGATTTCTTAAGAAGTTTAAAGTAAGAATCTACGTTAGAGGTAATCTTTAATAGATATCGATAGAAGAGAAAAGGGTAGCTATCTTAGCTATTAAAATAGCGAGAGCAATCTTTACTTTAATAGTAGTATTCGATCTTAATATAATATAAAGAGACGTAGTTACTATATTCCTAAACTTAGTGCTTTAAAGTAAGGTTTATATTAAGTACCCGTAAGGATTTAAAGTATAAGGTTAATACTAGCTACTCTATAGAGCTCTTTATAGCTTATAAATATTACTAAGATTATAGTAGTAAGAAGTAATAAGGATACTAATAAAACTAGACCTTACCTTAGTATCGGAAGATCTATATATCTTTATTAAGAATAATATTATCGTCTTCTTTTATATAGATAATATTATCGTTATAAATTATCTAAAGTATACTAAGTAGGTAGCTAAACTAGATAATAATATTAAGAAGTAATAGGAATTACGAGAACTAAAAGTAAACTAGTTCTTAAATTTCCGTATTATTAGAGATAGAGATTAGATAAAACTCTAGCTATACTAAGATAGCTATATTAAAAGTATAGTAGCTAAGTATAGCTTAATTACTACTAGGAAGGTAGGGTCCCTAATAAGTATAGGGACGGGGATCGAACCCCTTCTTCTATTCGATAGAGTAATATTACTAAATTAGATCTATAGTTTCTAGGCTAAGATTAGATCTACTTAGTATACTACTATTATCTCCCGGCTAGATACTATAAAAGCTATAGCTAAACTAGCTAAGTTTCTAATAAATCCTAGTCCGAAATATATCGATATTATCGACCGAGTGATTTAATATCTCTATAAAACTAGATTCTAGGCTATTAAATATAGTATTAGAGAATAATTAGACGAAATAAAGGGTCTTTAGTTTGCTATAAAATTAGTTAAATTTATAAGCGATACTTCGTTTAGAGATAATAAGGATAGGAAGAGTTCGGAAGGTTATATCTATAAGTTATACGGCGGTCTAATCGATTAGAAAGTATCGAAATAGAAGACGGTAATAATATTAATAACTAAAGCGGAGCTACTTACTCTAGTAGAAGCCGGAAAAACCGTCTAATAGTAGCGTCGAGTCCTTAAAATACTAGGCTTTTAACTAGATTATCTCTTATCTATTATATACGACAATTAGTAGATAGTCGATCTACTAACGAAGGAAGGATCGACGATATATATAAAGCTACGGTATATAGATATTAATCGATCCTAGATAAAGTAGGAAGTTAGTATAGGTAGAGTTAAAGTAGACTAGGTTCTAATTGTAGCGATGCCTATAGATAGCCTTACAAAGGCGCTTCTAAGATAGAAGCAGTATCTCTTCCGAGAGATGATTAGGATAAGAGAAATCAGGTATCTGATTTATCCAGAAGAAGTGGAAAAGAAGTGAAGAAATGAAGGATTTGGCAGCTCTAAAAGCTAGGAAAATGTAGGCTTTAAGAGCTAGGGGGTGTGTCAAAGTGTAGGGTTATATACATGGATTTACATGGTATTATACTATAGAAGATTATATAATCATAGCTTAGTCATAAACCGCATAGAAACAGTAGTTTCTATTATATAGAAAATGCAGAGTTCTCCATATCAGCCCTGAGGTACATACATTTCAATACGTTAGATTTCTGTCATTCCTGGCAAAAATCGTCAGAACTCGAGGGGTAAGATAGGTAGATAATCATACTCCTAGAATATTGGTTTGGCAAATGATGGCCTTTCCGGACGATGTTAAAAAAAAGACCATGCAAAGTGGTTGTATCTATACCTTCCCTTTACCTCTAGAGCGTGATCCCCGTTTCTTGTAGTCTATAGGGCCCCTGGCGACAATAATTCATAGTGCCAAGCGAACAATGTGGATAATAGGTCATCATAGGTTGCTTGACTAGGTTTCAAAATAAGCTTATTTCGGGTGTTCCTACAGTTAAGGACAGCTACGCTGATCCTAAACAGCTGCAAATCTTTTTTCCGTTTTCTAAACTTAGTAAGGGTTCCGGCAGCCAAGTTTGAACCGTCTATGTCCTAGGAGCTCGGCCTTCTGGTCTCAGTAATGATTATTCTATCCTGATGACTTTGCGGGATATATTCCCCTCTACAGAGAGATTATGAAAGCTCCAATAACAAATGATACTGTACAAACTAGAATATTTTGAGAACATTTAGAGGCAAAAAAATCTGTCCCAGGTTTGGAAGTAATTCATTTCACCCTGATCCTTCAGGAGCGATCCAGGCTAAACGGCACCAAAATGTCCTCGCAAAGATCGATTTCCTGAATAACCCTTTCACCCAAAAAATGGATTCAGTTTGGACTTAAATTAGACATGCATCCTGCAAGGTCACCACTGGAGACAATCATCGCCCAAATTTATTCCAAATTCACTATCGTTCAACGTGAATGCCACCGAAAGGACACCATGCTTCACGGCATGTCCCAGTATATCAAAGCAATGCAGCAGCGAAACTGCAAACTTGATGAGAAATTGAGAGTCGTGGAGGCTCAGGTGGTAAGTATGAGACAAGCAAATTTCTGTCAAGGGAAAGCCTGCAGATGTAAAAGCTCAATCGTATTGGGCTCGGATCTTACACCTTCAAAATGAAACCTATCAGATTATACAAATCAAGCAGGACGGCCTTGGGCCTAATTCCTACGAGGGAGTCTTCGGCCCATCTTTAAGTATGTCTTGTACACTTGCATTATCACAACAACCGATTTTCGGACAACGGCTATAAAAAAGCCTATGAAAGCCTACGCTGAACATGGATATCCAATAGACATAGCATGACAGCCTCTATAGACATTGAAGTTGGTACTAAAGTCCTAGTGGGCCACCTGGCTGCCAAAGCCTCTCATACATTGATACATGGCCATCGAGGCCCAATAGGAGGAGTCTAGCATCCAAGTTGGCCAGTGACCAAGTACCAACAATCTAATGCCAGTAAGTAATAGATGACTGCCCACTATCGTAAAGCCTACATCAAATGGACATGGTGAAAGGGCGGTGGCACAAGCGACAAGGGCCAAGACCCGGTGGCCATGAGCACGGGTCGCCAGTTGACGGCCAAAGGGCCCGACTGGCTCATGGTCCACGGCTCATGGGCCAGCTGGGCCGTTTGGCCGTCAACTGGCGACCGAGCGGGCTTACTATCTTGACAGGCTAGGGAACACGCAGCTAGAATCCTCATTCGATCAAGATCTGGGTACATTGGAGTAGATATAACTTATTAGAACTATGCTAGTGGTCACTACCCTCCGCTAGAGCACGCGAAACTGAGTTCATGTTCTCCTCATTGCGAACCAATTCGGGACCATACGCCACAAAAATGGTGTTTGTGCCATCCTGGACAGCTGCATCAAAGCATTGCGCAGGGGGAATTGCGCGAAGGTTTTGATCGTAGAATGTTACCGGAACATTCTCCTTCGCTTTCTCCCGGGCGAATGCTTCCACCGCCACTGGATTGGACGGATTGACCGTGATCTGATGAATGACGTAATCCCATCCGCCCTGATCATCTCTTCCCCTGAAAATGATCCGAACATTTTGGTCTTCCTCACGTCGCCACTCATGATCAACAGTCTCGTCTTCAATCTGTTTGGGACGAGAGGCAGCGATATTCTGGCTATCATTCTCATCCAGGTCGTTTAGCCGAGTCGACTGGTTTTTGCCGTGCCAACGTGGATGAGCCAACAATTCCTGTCGCATTGTATCCACTTTATCGGGATCTCCGGATTCCCGTTCTGAAGTAGCAACTTCGGTCCAGTTTGTAAAGTCAATTTGCGTGACGGCTCTTGGTTGCTTGATTTCCTTCTTGGGGCGATGGACCTTCTGCTGGGGGCGGTGACCAAACGATTGCCTTCTCTGTGTGCCCGACGACCCATCAACATTCATATCATCGGATGATCCAGGGCTTAATTCCTGTGTTTCTATCGGCTGATGGTTTACCGTTGTTGATATGGGAGCTGTGTATTTATCGTGGCCTTCTTCTGCCTGTGCCCCACCTGGGGTAGCCTGAGCTCTGCGCGATATCCCCTCGTTACGAGGGCGTTGGACATCCTTCCGGGCACGGTGACCAAACAATATCCTTCTCTTCCTACCTGACGGCCCATCCACGTTCATATGATCAGATGGTCCAGAGATTTCCAGAGGCTTCGGGGTTTTGCTCTGATGTCGTGTAGGGGCATGAAGCGCTGATGGCGTGTTAGATCGCCCTCTCTCTCCATCGCTACTATTATGGTGAGATGCGAAAGCATCCTGGGATATAGACGGCTGTTCTTGCTGTGTTTCGATCGGTTGATCGTTCACCGTTGTTGACGTGAGAGCTGTGGGTTTCTCGTGGCCCTCTTCCGCCCGGGCCCTACCTGAGGTAGCCTGAGTTTCGGGCGATATCCTCTCTAGAACGTCGTCCACAGACGGCTGCTCAGATGTTGGCTGCGCAAAAACGACACCGTCTCGTCTTGATTGCAGTCTGAACTGTATAGAAGGTTGCGACAAGTCCTCTGTGGTATATTTGGAACGTGCCAGTGTACTCGTCAAATTTTCTGATAAATTGGTCCCGTCATCCACTACTGGCTCTGCTTGGTTTGCCACGTTATTCTCAATTGTTGTTTGGAAAGTGCTTGGCTCGTCGTCGTGCGTTGATGGGGTGGCTCCATTCCCCATAGAATCCGAAAATTCCTGACTTTTGCCTCTCCCGGGGTCAAAAATCCCCGCGGAGGTTGTAACGGTTGTATCCCAAGGCGACTGGTGTTCCGTATATGCTTTTTGGTATTCTCTATCCGCTAGATCGGATTCCTGGCCTTCATTGACTTGTGGCGGCTCAGGAGGCATCTCTGAAAAGTCGATTTGGGTCACTGGCCTGGTTGGATGCCCCGGGCTGGACATCTCGCTTGGCTGCAATAGCTCGCCGATCTGTCTTTCTAATGCATCCTGTGGTTGCTCAGAAACAGAAGGCCTTTCTCGCTTCCTCCGCTGCGCCACATCATATGGTCTATATTTGGCATCATCTCGCCACCGTGAACGTTTACTGTCTCTCCTGGATGGCCCATGCCCCGGGAGAGCAACGGCTTGTTGAGTTGCCAATTCTGCAGACTCCAGTTCCCCGGTGTTCTCCACAACTGCATCCTCCAACACCTCGTTTGTTGCCATTTCTTCCTCGCGTTGGTAGGTCGATTCCCACGAATGCTCACCCGGAATGTCTTGCTCGGCAATAATTGTCGCTAAGCTCTGGCTTTGTGTATCCTGCATCTGCTCACGCGCAATTTGGCCAGGCATCAGTGAGTTGTCGGCTTGGGATTCATGAGTCGGGTCCCCGGCACACTCAATGTCCGGTTCGTGCGGCATCTCCGTGTCGTCATCTGTACCAAGTTCCGAGCTTTGTTGCAAATGCTCACCGAAATCGATTCGGTACCCTTCCTCTTCTCCTGATGTGGACGACGGATGCGTCTCATTTGAATGGTCGCGTATGCTGTAAATCCTTTTTGGAGAATTGGCCGACGCGTGCCATTCTAACTGTGGATAACGCGAGCGAGGGGATTGGTGGTTTTCGCGCCTATGCCCATGGCTCTGCTTCCTCCCCTTCTTATGTTCTCGCGTCCGCTTCTTTTCCCGTCGTTCATGTCTCCTTCTCTCTTCTCGATGCCGGCCATAACCTTTTTCTTTTCTGCGCTTTTCTGGTTCCCTTGTCTTCCGATATACTTTCCTTGAAGGCACCTCCTCTTTGCTAAATTGTGATATCCTTTCAGAGCCCTCCTCGGCGACGAAAAGTGGCGACATAGGATGCCGATCCGTGACACTTGGTGAAGTGAATGGTAACCGGTTGAAGAATGTATAATACACACACTGTCTAACAAATAAAGTGGAGACCTTTTTGGTGGTCGATGGCCATGCGGTATGGAGCTGGTCAATAAAAAGAAACCAACGATCTTGCCTTTGAGCCTTGACTTGAGGGTAACCGCATTGATGTCTGATTTGAATTTCTCTACCATCAGTAAGCCCCCTCTCAGGGTCACAGTTCAGTGGAGAAGCCTGTTGAAAGCACTCAGCTACGCGATCCACGAGTGAATCAAAGACATCATTGTCATATTTGTATTGCTCGTGATCTCGCGCCTTCAAAAGCGCCTCGCGTGCGATTTGTCGATCCGGGGACTGCTTCAGCAGACTTTTGATTCGGTCAGATCGAAACCCCAGTCTCCGAGCCAGAACTGCCAGGTCGTAGAGGATTCTAGGATCTGCTTTCTCCCAAGCTTTCACCACATCATCCTGGTTTTCAGGTTCCTTGGCCATTTTCAGATAATGGCGCATAGCATACAGCCAGAGTTGCCGATAAGCGAGCTCCGCACGGTCGGTCTCGTGACCTTTGTATGGCCGAAACTTTGTTTCGGAAACCTGAATCAAGCAGTCGCCGCCTTCAGAGTGTGGTTTCGAAAAAGCATTTCGCACTGCACGTTTGATAGTCGGTTGTTTTTTGTTCAGTGAGACAATTCGCTTCAAGCAATTTGCGCAAGACTCCAGATACCACACATTCCGGAAAAAAGTGTAGAGTGATGGAATTATGCGTTTCCTTGATTTCATTAATTTCCAAATCGAGGTACGCTCAGCCGAAGTGAATGCCGAGAATGCTTCGCCGCTCAGAACAAGCCCTTTTGCAAGCTTTCTATCTTTGTTAGACACTCCAGGAGCCAGGAGCTGCAGAGACTGTATTGTCCGAGGATCGATTTTCAACATTTTTGAACGCTTATGCTTTACCAAAGACGACCAGTATTCGTACAGATCATTCAAACCGATGACCAATTCCTGCCCTGATTAGCCATTCGAACAAAAGTCCCGCGCCATAAAACCAACCTCATCGCAACCAATGGCCAAAGCACGGGAGATTGAGCAAATCTTCATTCCATGCTCGAGTAGAGCTGGAAGTGCCAACAGAGAATTCACTGCGGCCCGTACATCGTCATGAGATTCAAGCTGCTGGAAACGCTTCAGTTTGTTTGGTGAAAGACGGGATTTCCACCGTTTCTCAAAGTGAGCATTTGCCTCATGTTGATATTGACGAATCTTACGGTAGATTTCGCCATCAGTCGGCGTTTTCTCGTTGCAGTATTCATCAACAAGCGTCGCTTGAAGCGAGGGGCTTATGTCTGTATGTTTTCAGTGTCACCTGCTGCAAAAATCCTCGATTTAAAGTTTAGCAGCGGTCTCAAGCCGGCTGATTTTCGAGTGCTTGAGGCAATGGAAGGCAATAGGTAGGCTTCGGGAAAACGGAGTACACGTACCATCTAGGTATAGATTCACTGTCCACCACTGATCGCAGTCCGCCAAAAACTCTTCACCAGCTTTCAAACGATGCTGTCCGTGCAGACATTTTACTTCCCCACTGGGAAATTGCAAGTGAGGATATCCATCGGATGTGTCACTCATCAGTTGCGCAGCGCTCACTCGCGCCTTTTGGAGTGCATCATCTAGACTGTGGCTCGATACGACAGCAGTTACATGGTTAGGAACATCCAATCTTCGACAGCCTTCTTTGCTGAAGACTCCGCATAGTCTATCGACGTTCCTTGGATCCAATGCCCGACAAATAGAATTGTGGGGCACAATCTGGCTCAGGTTGATTAGAGCTATCCCTCGGTATTTTTTATTTCGTTCGCTGATCACACGACGTTCATGATCTGTGTACATAGACCGTTCCATGACAAGAAACCAACTGTTTAGTGAGAAGCATTATCAGCGGGTTGGGGAAGGGTTGTACCTCTATTTATCGTTTTACTCGGCCTCGGCAATAGGAAATCCACCCCCACCGCTTCCAAACTTTTTTATTTTATTTTCTTGAGTGATTAATTAATGCGGAATTTGATGGCTCACTCAACCAAGCCACCAAGCACTATGTATAATGACAGAAATCTGACGTATTGAAATGTATGCACCTCAGGGCTGATATGGAGAACTCTGCATTTTCTACATAATAGAAACTGCTGTTTCTGTGCGGTTTATGACTAAGCTATGATTATATAATCTTCCATGGTATAATACCATATAAATCCATGTATGCAACCCTACACTTTGACATACCTCCTAGCTCTGGCTTTCAGAGCTGCTAAATCCTTTATTTCTTTACTTCTTTTCTACTTCTTCTAGATAAATCAGATGCCTGATTTCTCTTATCCTAATTATCTCTCGGAAGAGATACTGCTTCTGTCTTAGAAGCGCCTTTGTAAGGCTATCTGTAGGTATCGCTATAGTTAGAACCTAGTCTACTTTGACTCTACCTATACTAACTTCCTACTTTATCTAGGATTAATTGATATCTATATACCGTAGCTTCGTATATATCGTCGATCCTTCCTTCGTTAGTAGATCGACTATCTACTAATTGTCGTATATAATAGATAAGGGATAATCTAGTTAAAAGCCTAGTGCTTTAAGGACTCGACGCTATTATTAGACGGTTTTTCCGGCTTCTACTAGAGTAAGTAGCTCCGCCTTAGTTATCGATATTATTACTATCTTCTATTTTAATACTTTCTAATCGATTAGACTATTATATAACTTATAGATATAACCTTCCGAACTCTTCTTATCCTTATTATCTCTAAACGAAGTATCGCTTATAAATTTAACTAACTTTATAGTAAACTAGAGACCTTTTATTTCGTCTAATTGTTCTCTAATACTATATTTAATAGCCTAGAACCTAGTTTTATAGAGATATTAAATCACTCGGTCGATAGTATCGATATACTTCGGATTAGGGTTTATTAGAAATTTAGCTAATTTAGCTATAGCTTTTATAGTATTTAGCCGGGAGATAGTAGTAGTATACTAAGTAGATCTAATCTTAGCCTAGAAATTATAGATCTAACTTAGTAATACTACTCTATCGAATAGAAAAAGGGGTTCGATCCCTATCCCTATATTTATTAGGGACCCTATCTTCTTAGTAGTAATTAAGCTATACTTAGCTACTATACTTTTAATATAGCTATCTTAGTATAGCTAGAGTTTTATCTAATCTCTATCTCTAATAATATAGATATTTAAGAACTAGTTTACTTCTAGTTCTTATAATTCCTATTACTTCTTAATATCGTTATCTAGTTTAGCTACCTACTTAGTATACTTTAGATAATTTATAACGATAATATTATCTATATAGAAGAAGACGATAATACTATTCTTAATAAAGATATACGGATCTTCCGGTATTAGGGTAAGGCCTAATTTTACTAGTATTCTTATTACTTCTTACTACTATAATCTTAGTAATATTTATAAGCTATAGAGAGCTCTATAGAGTAGCTAGTATTAACCTTATACTTCGAATCCTTATAGGTATTTAGTATAAATCTTACTTTAGAGTATTAAGTTTAGGAATATAGTAACTACGTCTCTCTATATTATATTAAGATCGAATACTACTACTAAGGTAAAGATTGCTCTTATTATTTTAATAGCTAGGGTAGCTACCCTTTTCTCTTCTATCGATATCTATTAAAGATTACCTTTAACGTAGATTCTCGCTTTAAACTTCTCGAGAAATCTATTTATATTAAATTTATAGGTAAAGACTTATTTTAAAGGTAGTACCTAGATTCTTCTCTAACTTTAATTCGGAATAGGCACTTTAGTATAGGTTTCTTTTTTTTTAAGCGTCTAAACTTCGAAGCTTACTACTACTATAAATCCTTCTCTAAACTAGTACTTCTTAATCTATACCTAGTTCTCTAGTAGCGGGGGAAGTTTATCTTAGTAAAGCTTCTTATCGAATCTTTTACTTATATCTATAGAGAAGGTATAAAGTAAGCTTAGTAGGTTAAGAGATAGGTAGGTAGTATAATCTAGATCCGTCCTTAGTCTCCTAGATCTACTATTAGTAATAATATTTAATATATCTATATTACCTAATATATCTCTTAGTACTCGTTAGGATAATAATAATAATACTTAGAAGGACGCTTAATAGGATAGTTCTCGGTAGGACGACGATAATAATACCGGTAAGTATACTATTTTTCTTTATAGCTATCTCTCTACCTCTACTTTATTATTACTTACTTTATTATTTCTTACTTCTATATCCCTATCTACCCCCTAGTTTTAATCGATAGGATTACGGAGATCGGATCTAGTAACGATAATACTTCTTAGGGCTCCGGATTCGATAGGATCGATAGATTTAATAGAATCGGAGGGTTTAATAATAATATTAATAATCTTAATAATAATAGGGAGGATAGTATATTTAGGAAGCTTCCTAGAAAGCTTTTTAATAGGCCTCTCTATAGATTTATTTACTCTTTTATTTACTCCCTTAGTCTAATTATTAATTATAGGGTAGGCAATCTAACTACTTCCTTTCTAACCTATAATAGGGTTCTTTACCTAACCTCTTCTTTATTATTATTTCTATTATTTCTATTAACTAGATTATTAGCTATATTAATTATATTATTAGCTATATTATTAGCTATATTAATAGCTATATTAATTATATTATCTCTAGCTTACTTAGTATACTTAGTTTTATTATATAGTACTATCCTAGCTATTAATCTAGGTATTTCTATCTAGGTACTAATCTTAGCCTATACTTTATTATTAGTAAGTACCTATAGCTATATATCTAGTCTATCTATTATAATACTAATAGTATCTTCTTCCTTAGGTATCGATATTAATTTCGAATACTTCTTTAATTTATCGAAAACGGTATCTCTAACGACGTCTACCCTTTTATTATAGCTTTTATAGAGGAACTATATCTTATATAAGTTCTTAGAGATATATCTTATAAGATATCCTATCTCTATTCTAGGTACTATCTTATCCGATTATACTCTCTTAATAATCCTTAAGTATATTAGATAGCTATATAACCTTATATTTAAAAGGTTGATTTCTTAGTAATAGATACTATCTAGTACGGTATACTTTATTAGTTCTTTCTAAGGTATAATCTATTAATCTCTAATCTTTATCGGAGTCCTATTAAGGATATATATTACTATATATATTACCTCTAGCTATAGGTTCTTAGGGAGATCTATATTATTAATTAGAACTCTAGTAGTTCTTACTACTATCCCCCTAGATCTCTCGGTAGGACTATTTATCTCCGGTAAGCTAGCTAGCGAATACTTAATTATATATTCCTTAGCTTTTATTATTACTTTAACCTCGAGACCCGTACTCCGCTTATTATTATAGTAGAATATCCTAATCTCGATCTTTAGCTAGTTCTTAATTAATACTAAGAACTTCCTAATAATAATCTAGTAATTATTCTTCTTAGTATAGGTAAAGACAAAATAATATCTAATACTATTAAGATAAAAATATATTAACTAAATATACCTATTATAAGCTATTTAATTCTATATTAGGTCGAAATAGACCCTTTTAAAGATATTATATATCTCTCCTATCTTCCGGCGGGAGATCTACTTTAGGGTATCTACTAATTAATAAGCTTTATATACCTACTCCTTACTAAGATTGCTTTTAATAGTAATCCCCTTAATTATCTCTACTAGCTTAGTAAGACGTTACTAACTAATATAGCCTAAATACCTATACTAAGTTTAAATTAAAGCTTCTAACTTTAGCTTACTTATTAATTTCTTTATAATAAGAGCTATATCCTTTAATATCTTAAGGCTCTAGAAGCCCTTTAGTTATATTAACTATATTAACTTTTAGTCCTAATATACTCTATATACCGGTTTTTTAATAGTTATCTTAATATAGTTCTTTCTAAAGTTTATTACTAGCCCTACTTTTATTATTAATCTATTAGATATTAGATTACTATAGAAATTAGGCGAGTACTTAGTATTATATAGCTTTATTTTAACTACTTTATTACTATCGATTATACTAATATTATAGATTATTATAGTGCCTACCTTATCGATACTTATTTCCGTATCTCCTACCCTAATACTACTCTATATATCTTCGAAAGTTTTAAATAACTCCTAATTATTATAGATATATATCTATACGCTAGTATTAACTACCTATCGCTTTCCGATCGGTTCGATCTTAGTATCCTAAATTCGGGTAGATATAATATTAGTAGAGGTTAGAATAGCTTACTTACTAGCCGCCGGCTTACTTATCTAGGGCTTACTTACCTAAGGCTTACCTACCTTTAGTACGCCGGTCTATAGCTTAGTAGCTTATATAGAGAAGAACCTATATAATAAATTATCTTCGTTATTAAGGATAGTATTTGCTTACTATACTACCTTCCTTTATAGGTTCTCTTAACGCCTTTTATTAATCTAGGCTTTCTAAATAGGGTTAGCCTTTATAGCTTTCTCCTATTTCTACTTAGCTTCCTTATTTCTAGTATATCTAGAGGGTTTATCCTTATTAAAGATATCCTAATACTTCTAAGCTAGATATCGTCTATAGTTCTATTTATATAGATATAGCTTTAATTTAAATAGTAGTTCTTCTCTAGCTAACTTTATATTAACTAACTTTATCTTAGCTAGTTTTACTTCTTTATAGCCTTACTAAGTCGAAAAAGTAGCTTTAGAGATATCCTATTAATTAGTAACTAGCTTACTATAGGTAATCTTCTAGTATACTCGATACCGGTTAAGAAGCTTAGTAAATCCGATATCTTCTTTATCTTATAGTCTTAGAGTCTATATCTCGTAGAATCTAGGTAATATTACTAAGATAGTATTAAGGAACTAAGTCGAAGTATTATTTACTTCTAATATTCCTACTTTTTTATAGTTTAATTAGACTATCTCCTAGTTTAATAGCTATTTATCGATATTTATATTCTTATCTAACTCTTTATCTAGGCTTCTCTATTATTAACGGAGCCTAGTAGAATAGGTCGGATTATACTCCGAGGCGAACCTTTCTCGAAGGTTTCGGAGTAGACTATATAGAGTTTTATAGTTTATAATAAACGGCTAAAAGTTTACGTAAACATTATTCCGGATTACTATTATAATTATACTTAACCCCTTCTTTTCCTAGGTATAAAGTATATTCTTTATCGACTAGTTCGATTAAATCACTTTATAAGTATCGATCTATTTATCGCTATACTTCTTTTCCGCTTCTTTAATCGATATAATCTCTACCGGAGCTTTCTATATCTCCGGTTCTTTTTCCTTACTAGGATTATATAGCTCTTAAACGTCAAATTATACTATAATCGATTCGATATTAGCGATCTATATATCCTAAGTTTCGGTGTCCTTAAGGATAATACGGGAGGATAGACCCGCGGAGAGATAATCGGCTATAATTTAGATAGATTTCCGATTTTTCTTCGATTTAGGGGTTACTTCGTCGCTAGGTAAATTACCTTAGTATCGATTAGAAGTAGGGTTGATCTTTGAATTGATTAATAGAACAAAGCCGGGCTTATAACTGATAGAAATCTAACGTATTGAAATATATGTACCTTAGGGCTGATATGGAGAACTCTGCATTTTCTACATAATAGAAACTGCTGTTTCTGTGCGGTTTATGACTAAGCTATGATTACATAATCTTCTATGGTATAATACCATGTAAATCCATGTATGCAACCCTGCACTTTGACAAGGAACACTATTTCTGGGGATTTTGAGATGTGAGATGACTCAGCTGAAGAAATCTAGTTAAAAATCGGTAGCTATCTCTCAATTCACCAATCTCTAATTCACCATTTCCTTTGAATTCACCACTCCCTCTCAATTCACCACTCCCTCTCAATTCACCACTCCCTCTCAATTCACCACTCCCTCTCAATTCACCACTCCCTCTCAATTCACCACTCCCTCTCAATTCACCACTCCCTCTCAATTGACCACTCCACAACAAACTCGGTTTTCGCACTCCGCGTGCTATATCCAGCTATGTCCAGCTATGCCATGCTATGTCATGCTATGTCAGTGGTATGTCCAGCTATGTCAAATCACGTGTTTTGTAGCGTACCTCGCTCCAAGAGATTCAATCTTGCTTCTAGTGTAGAGAGTTTCCCACTAAAAGAGCGTACCTGTTCCTCAAGAACATCAATCTTGTGCCGTAATATACGATCATGCGCTTCATCCGTAGGTGCCGGTGCACTCGCCACCGGAATCACCACTTGAGGAGATCCCATCTCCACGTCAGATTCAAATGAATCTCCAGTTACTGAAACGTCAGAAACCGTCTTGCGAGAACGCACGCTCAACTGTGTGTCCAACTTGTCTCCAAAGACAAACTCTTGACCAGAGGCTTGAGTAGAGATCCAGCACTGCCAGCTGTCTATCCACGATCGTAGTAAATTAACGCCCAGCCGGGCCTTTGGTGCTTCCACCCAGTGTGGGACATACGCCGACGAAATGATATCCGTCGCTCCAACACGTATCCTGTTGCCAACTCCTGGCAACTCCAGCCATCGCCCACTGCGACTGGTGCGATGCTCGAACCTCACAACGACCGCCCACCAATGGCGCGGGGAGGACTCCCGTTTTCCCTTACGGGAAGGAACAGAGACCAGTACTCTGGCTCCGAAATACTTGAACTTTTCCTTGTGGTACCCGCCCGCGAGACCAACTTGAAGCCTTGCTTCAAAGTCTTCAATAGACTCTTCGTCATCCGCGTTCCAGAGGACCGCTATGTACTGTCCACGAAATGCTGTCGTGGATTTGCTTTGCGTTGCTGGGACCAGCACGTGCGACACTTCTATCGACCCTGGTAAGGGAACACCATGGTACTCCATGGTGGGTCAATTCTTTGAACTAACAACCCCCATTACCTGGGGGACGATATACATCTATATACATTGCGCTATTACTTAGCGCTTCACGTGAACTCACGTGGTACTGGCACCATGTGCCAAGAATTACTCCTTCGGGTAATTTTTCTCGGTGTTTCAGACTCATGCCAAGAGTTCCCCTTCTTGGGAGCGGTCAGTCTTTGACCGCCCGTACACGGGTGGCAGTACACTGCCGTGACCGTACCGTACCCGGTACTAACCCCTTCGGGCGCGCTTCGCTAGAGCGCTATCCGGCCTATGGCCGGATGCCCCTCCACGATACCCGTGGATCCTCCCCGTTCCCAAATTTCCGCTAATCTGGGAATTACGTCGAGCCTGTCGACGTTTTGGGGCAATGTTATACTAGATGTGGATCCCACCTCTGCCCAAAAAGTCTACCAATCGCCATCCAACGGAACAACTCGATTGAATAGTCCTGGTGTATTTTATTACCATAAAGGCTGTGATTACCCAACAATGAATCCTCAGCATGAGAAATATCAGCATTATTGTATTTCACTCCTGGATTCCGTATGGGAAGGAGTTATCACCCTTTTTTTGGAATTACAACAAATAGTGAGGAAGTTCCGAGGTCAAAGGCGAACATTCAAGCATGATTGTGGTGCCTCATAACAGGCCCGCCTATACAGTTTCATCCTTGCCATATTAAACCAGGGGCATGACCCATGCGGCCTCCAAAATACTGCGGACAGTGTATTGGGGGCTATATGGCTCCTAGAAGCGGCGCATATATACGCCAATCTTTCCCGATTGGGCGATTGTAGAAGGCGTAAACAATTAAGTTGTCAGGGGACATGAAATTTTGGAATGCGCCCTATCCGAGACGGTGATCGACGACCCCGGTAGTCTCCGGCTGCCTTTCATGCTTGGCCTTGGCCAGTGTCCTGTAGCTGAGATGAGAAGGGCTTGTCCCCTCATTATCAGTCCAATTAGAGGGCAGTCCGTTGCACGATGTTGATCTGACGGTTAAATATTTAGCGGCACATGTGGGTTAAGTAAGCATCGGCTTGTGGGGTTTCGGGAATTGAAGCTGATTTGAACAATGCCATTTGTGACTTTCCTGGACTGACGAGAGAGGATAATAATTGCTGTTTAATCGGGCTACTTGAGCGACAGCTTCAATTGATGGGCTTTCTATTTATGGCCTTCTCATGTACTCCCGCCCTCTGACGGTTTCCGTGCTGATTCCTTGAAGTATCGTGCCCTTGCGTTGCGGATGCTCACCAGATCTGTGTTTAAATCGTTCTTCATTGTTAGCACTAGACCCTTTGGTCCATTTTCCGGGTAGTCAATCAACTGCAAATTCTTCACATCTTTACATTTCATCTCGGAGAAAAAAGCAATGTATTTTCTATATGGATCGTAGAGCAGAATGTATATCCGATGGGCAAAGATTTGTGTTCCCAGGGGCTGATATGGCCATAAGGGACGACACTAATTTTGCAGGCTAGGCAGGTTTGTGGATTCTAGCGGACACATACTGGAGAAGAATGATGACACGCCGCTAGAGCATTGTCATTCTACCCGAAAACCGTCTCCAAATCCTATTGAGGATCTGCGTGACAGGTGATGGTAGGAATGAGTCCTCCTCGCTCTCGTCCGTCATATCCCGTCCCAAGTCATCCGCAGATGGACTTTCAAGGACCCCTGTGGCTGCCTGGCTGTTCTTGTCGTTTTTGGGGTGTCCATCATAACCAGCCTCGGTCGAACTCCGTTCATCATCGCTTATCGGTTCAGGCCTTTCTGCCCTTACTCCAAACTCCTCCCATTCTTCATCACCTACCGTGTTACGATCCACCATATTGATCAATTACTTGTCTGATTTCGACTCCTCCGAGTACGTGTACATCACGAGGTCACGCATGGTCGACTCATCCAAATGTCCCCTATGGACATGATGGATCTTCTCTGCCATGGCAAATAGTCGTTCCGAGCCAGCACCCGTAGTCGGAATGGAGAGTAGATCGCGAGCCAGTCGAGCGAGAACAGGCCATTCGTGTTGATGATCTTTCCAGTAAGCGCGTGGCGAAATATTCACAGCCCCTACGGTGTGTCAGTAGTCAACAAGAGATATGCCAAGCAGTTGTTCATACCTTCTCGAAGATATTGACCAACTTCATCTTTCTGATTCGTTGAACTGGCCACCAGACCAGTCAATGGGTGCAGAATCCGGTCGTGTTCCAACAAATGCGGAGAACGAGACATTCCATTTACGTAAGATAAGCTCGTAGGCATTTGCGGTCGGTACTGTAAATGAAAGATCTTTAGATATTCAATGTAGCGCTCGGGGTGGCCCAGGCATGATGACGTGGCACCATCGAGAGCGGAAACCTTGTATTGGGGCGCAATCAAAGTCCCAGTTCCATACATAATCCCGAAGCGTTGGAATGTCTTTTCGTAGAGCTCTCCTAGTTCTATCTTTATGTTAAGCAACGCCCGACGTAGTTTCTGTTTCCACGGAGCTGATTTTCCGCCTAGTACTTGGATTGACTTATCGATGTGCACCATAAGTGTCTTGAACAAAAAATAGGCTTTGTGGACTGTAGCATCTTTTGAGGCTAGGAGGGCCATAGTAAAATGAACGAATGGCGTTGTCAGCTGGATAAGATATTCAACCTTGCGCCACTCTGTATTCTATACTCTCAATTTTAGATCGCCGCTCTTGCGATAGTATTGATCGATATATCTTTGTAGTCTCCCCGCTCGCTTCAACATCAACAACGCCGAATTCCAGCGGTTGTTCGCATCGTCTAACGGCAGGAGTTCCATCCCCGCGGGCTGGAGACACAGAAATTCATCGCGCCTTTGGGGGCTCTTGTTGACAAAGTTTGCAAACGATCGAATCTGCAAATGCTAGGGTCAGATTCCTTCTCGCCGTGATGATGGAGGGGCGTTTACCTTTTCCAAAATCCTCGCTATTCCTGCCTTATATGTTGTTTCGATTGAGTAAAAACCACGCGATATTGTGCGCTCATCCTCAACCGTTTCCCCTTTTGGGGCATTGGTGATGTTTTCGATAAAATGTCCAAGACAGAGCTGAATGGCCTGCACTGTTCTAGGAACCCCAGCAAAGCATTGACAAGAGCTGATACCACCAGAAGAAGTGAGCTTCTCTTGTAATGACAGCACTAGTTTCTCATCGACCCTATAGTCGATTGTCACGCTGAATATCCGACGAAGCAACCCTTTTTCTTCGATCAGTCCAAGTATTTGATCACTAGGGTCATTCCCTGTCTCGGGCCTGCAAAGTAGTTCGAATCCAAGCAGCACCTCTCGGTAGGACTACTTTTTGTCAAAGTAATATGCAATAATAGCCATGAACTCCTGCCCGAGCGGACTTTTCCAACAGCACAAAGCAATCGATACTTTGGAATCTCCGGGCAGATCCTGCAGCTGTGACTCTTGGTAGGTGGTTGCCGTGTCGTGAATATGCTGGAGGAGTTGCTTTGACGATGGAATTTCTAGAACTTGAGGTCCGGCATAGACTAGGTCCAACAATTCTCGGAATGTGGGTTCTTCCGTAAGCCCAAAAGAAAGGCTTGCGGACATAATTGTCCGCAGAAGCTGTTCTTCGAGCTGTGCTTTTGTGAATCTGCTCCTCTTTGGTGAAAACTCTGCTCGGGCCTGGATTGGGCCTGGGGTGACAGCAGAACTAGGGGCCTTCTCCTTGCCTCTGCGACATGAGTTGGATTTCAAGTGCTTGCCCATCGCGCTTGTCCCATGAGATTTGTGATGTGGGTGATCAAGCGTCGCGAGGCAAGAACGACAAATAACTTTCGGTCTACCGGACCTGAGCTCTGCCACTTGGTCAAAATGCTTCCACACCTCCGAGGAACGCGACTCCGCTGACCACTTTACTTTGGATTTTCCTCCTTTGGTCAGCTGTCGTCCATAGTCGGTGTCCAGCCACCACGATAAAAATTCGTTCTCCCGGGCGGTCTCGTAAAGCACCCAATTTCGGCGGGCGGGTGCAAACCGCGTGAGTTTTGCCGAGGGACTTCTGGGCCGGGCTTCCATAGTTACGATCCTTGAGGGGCCAGTGAATGGCTTGAAGTCGTAAATTAGATTAGCATCGGTTGACCGACTCCAGGTGATGACATACCGAAGACCGCGATCTTGTGACCGACGACGAATCTGAGGCGCCAATTGAACACATCGCGCTGAAGGGGTGTAATACTGGAAGGAGAGCCGCCAGAATAAATATAATCATAGGCAAAGCAAGCGAGACTGGTATTAGATTTTTATGGTAGAGTGACCAATACGTCCCGGGAATCAGTCATCGCATTGAACATTATATATCTTGGTCTTCTGACTAATCTGTTCGCTCTTTGCCCTGATTGTTGAGGTTGATGCATTCCGTGGCCAGATTGAGAAACCATCGATGGTGGATTTGAGATGGTAAATTTACAAGTCCTCAAGCATGTAGATAGCCCGCAAATTGAACCACCAGCGGCTTCTACTGTCTCAACGTCGGCAAACGTTGCAAAATGTCTCACCGCATCCCCGTTGATGACTCTATCGGATTGTTGATATTTCACTACCTTCAAGATCGTCCGGTTATAAATGAAGCCTGCGCGATACGTAGGGATATCTTGAGCGGTGAAAATCGATGACGCCAACGATTTCTAACGCCTAATTGGGTCAACAGACGTGTTCACCAGGGATTAAGTTGAATCAACGTCCTAGTAAATTTGAGCCATAAGCACTGGCAAAATTCTCTCCCATATCATCGAGGTTTTCACCGGCCCTTTGTACATGCCTCAGTCGTTCAAACATTAGTTAGACATGGTCCATAATCGAATAGATCCTTGAGCTACATAACTCCTGTTCCTTCCACTGTCACCATCTTGTTCATCAAGTGAACAAACATCACCTTGGGTGAACTATAGTTTATCATTAATAAAACATTTTCATAAATAAAAAAGCATCACGTTGCGTATAGAGTCTACTCACTCTTTTTGTAGAGTGGGGCTTCGCCCCCCAGAATGATCCATCAACACTTTGATGTAAATATATATATCGTTGACAAATCATGTGCTACATCCTGCTATCCAGCTATGACTAACGCTATGTCGGGTTATGTCATTCCGACAATTTCTCAGTTGTCTCTCTCTTAATTCACCATTTCCTTTGAATTTACCACTCCCTCTCAATTCACCACTACCTCTCAATTCATCACTCTTCAATTCATCACTCCTCTTCAATTCATTCCTCCCTACCCGGTTTCTAATACCTTAAATCGCTTTAAGCAGCAAGACATCGGATTCCTTATTCGGGCGTTGGATTACATATGCAATACTGTATCTTTTCGTGGAATGAATGCTGACGATTTTGTGGATGAAGGGCACTAACCCGGACTGGAAAAACATTTCTCAGACTGAGCCAGCGACATTTTTTCCTCCGCTCGGACATGAAACACACTAGTCTATATTCGCTTTCGCCGATTTCAATACCACTAATTGCAAGGTATGTAAGATGATATGAGGCTAAGCTGTGTAAGTCACCTGAACTTATCATCCGATCAGTCTCGTTTGCTCAACAATCTTCAGCCCAGCATAATTGTAAATAATTTGAGAGTCTCTTAAACTCCCCATTCATCATATATCAATTCCAGTACCCCCTCATTGCTAACATTTGTGGCCTAGCATAATGTTAGACCTTCGAAGTCTTTCTATGTTAATCTTCCTAGTCCGAAAGAAACGTTGGAATATCTCCCTCTAGACACCCCCAGCATTTGTGCTTAACTTACATTCCTGTACAGAGTATTTCTAGTACTCAAACTCCACGGAGCAACGGATCTTGCTTCCGCTTCTTTTGTAAATCTCAAATTCTGGCGGAACGGCGTGATGGGATCGGCGACATAAGACTTTTCATTCCCGCCTCCCTCTCAGGCCAAGGAAGACTCGAAAAATCGACGGCGCCGCATTTGAGAGATAATCAGTTTTTCGATGCTCCAAATGTCGTTGAAACACATATTCGGATCTCTGTTGTGCTTTTCAAGTAGGCAAGGAGCTACCTCCTCAAGCACTTCGGATTTGAGCCAAAGGGCAACTTGAAGATCAAATTCCTTATCCCCTTTTGACACTTGGAGTGGCCCTGAAAATGCGCAGAACTTCTAGTTTTCGACCTTTCTTTCTTTTGCCTTCTGTCGTATCCAAGGCGACTTGGAGTTCGCATTCGTACCAACTACCCGACCCCTTGCCGAGTTCAAGGGTTCGAGGCTTGCACCATTCATTCAACACCCAGGGCAAAAATTTGGTGATTTCATCCATTTCCATGGATACCACCCCTTCTACCAAATACATTGCGGTATCATCAAGGATCTTGTAGCACCGGATACAGGATATCGTCTTCAAGGAAGCCGCGATAGCCTAATGCTTATTAGTTAGACTGCTCGAAAGAGTGGCCACAGAAAGAGTATCTCCATGCTCATGATACGATGGCTATTTTCATGGCATTTTCGTTACTGTGCTAAGGTACTGCCAAGATTATCGGTCAGGCGTTGACTGATCGCACAAGGTATGACTTCAACAAAGAATTAAAGAGATCAAACAAATTTCGAGTGCGTTTCTATCTCTGCGCAGAAGACCCTTTGAGAAATTTATGTCGGCTCGGATTTTGATGTGAGGGCCATAGAGGCTCGAAAAGAAATCTCGAATCGTGAACTGGTTGATATTCTTGGTTTTCCCAACCCATTTCGTCAACGTTGGAAAATGACTATCGGAATGCGTCATGATGACTCCAAGCTTGCATTCTTCCTGTCGAAAACGCAGTACTCCAGCGTCTACGATAGGTGATTCGAACAGCCACCGTCCGCCTGCACGTCATGGAAAGACTCCCGTAGACATTAATTTCTCTCAAGATTCTCCCGATGCGAGTGAGAATGAAATTCGCAACGATAAAATTTCTTCCGGACAACCTCCAACGTATATTTAATAAGTCTTATCACAATCAGTAAATTTGATCCATATCTTTCGCAATTCCAGACCATGAAGAGTTCATGGGCTATTCTCTATGCATGCTTGTTTTTCAGCTCCGATGTATCCACCGGCTCAGCCGCCTATGGAGTATGTCAAGCAGGATGTGCAACGGTCGTAATGGCCTGTTACTCTGCAGCAGGCTTCACATGGGGAGCCACGATGGGTGCAACCGCACCTGCTTCTATACTTGCCTGCAATTCGGCTTTTGGAAAGTGCCAAGCGGCCTGTGCTTCTGTTCTACTAGCACCAACATTTTGAGGGAGATGAATTTTCCAGGCACCATATTCGACTGAGCTACAAGGAGGCATATCATAAAATTCCTCCATACAACCTAAATCATCCCTTTCATTTTGAGCTAGCTATTTTGGTCTCAATGAGTCTTACATATGGTAGTTTTAGGTATTGCTAGATATTTCATCCAGATTGTATGTCTATTCAGTTGAGAATGGCCGTTGTTAAGTCTGATTTTACTTTGCAGTCGTGTACTTCCGGATAAGGTAATTAAAAAGGATATCTTGTACTTATAAGCGAATAAAAGCGACTACGGATACAGCATCCGTAGGGATATCCAAAATGCGAAAGCATCAAAGTAAATCGTTTCGCAGAACTTCTTTAGGACTGAGATAGAAGCTTCAATTGTGTGGACACTAATGACGAAAGATCCCATGAAATGAGAGAAACAATTTCTAATGGTAGCTAGTTCTTCTGATTTGATGGCAACACAACATCTCCCACCATAATAGTCCCGCTTCCTGGAACATTTCTCTCAACGTTCTCACCATCCTCTGTCGACATTGTCGCATATCTACCAAACTGGATTCTCCCATTGACCTTTCGTATCTTGGGCAGCGCAGCCAAGATTTCATTGCGTTGTGCGCCGGTAACCTGGTCAACGCATAGCATCTGACAGCGCTGGCAAGGGTCAATGGTATCAAACAGGAGCTGGTCTTGCCCAATTCGAATGGATGACCAGTGGTCTTCGGCATAGGGGTGTTCGGCATGACCTGACTGACAGACCCGCTCAGCAACAACGATGTTGCTCTTGAACAAATCTGCACCGATGGCCTTGCTCACGCCGGAGGTATGCTTGGTGTTTGCTTTGATTGTTTCGTTGAGGCAGTTGATTGACGACCTAGATACGATCAAAAGAGACATTTCGTTTGATATGAGCACGTATTTTTGACAATCTTGGCGCGGTATTCGGTCAGCGCGCGAAAATGACTCCAAGGTAGCTAACCTTCGGAACCGATTCTTCCAGGTACTAGCCAGGCTAGGTGGCTTCATATCGAGATTTGCATCAAGTGGTGAGAATCGCGCAAGAGTACAAGATACACCTAGGTGCTCTGTAAAGAATGCCGAGACCACTGGCGAGGCGTAGGCACGAAGGCATGAGCTATGATCGTATACGCTAGGCACTCCTTTTCGACAGCTCGAGCGTACTGGGGAGCTCATAACAGTAGTGCTTCTAGCATCCCAGATAAGTGGAATTTCGAGGCTGAATGGACCATTTGTGGCCTTGGGGCTGCAGGTGATGCGAAGTATACCGCGTTCCATATCAAGAAACGGATGTATAGAAGCCATCTGAGGATATTCATTCTGCTTCAAGGGAAAACCGGTCACCTCATGAACGAGGTACCATTCCCGATCCCATGCAAGCCCTTCTTTTTTGACCTCCCAACGCTTGCCTTCAGGAATCTTGAAGGCGGCACAGCCTTTGATGGGAAATATCGTCAGACTCTCAACATAAAATTGAGGGGCAACCAAAATTTTCTCATCCATCTGAGGACTCAATGGAACCAGAGGAGGGGCTTTCTCCACATAAAACTCGTCGACGAAGTCCGTCAGTGAGTCTATATCCTTCAAATTGGTCATTGCTCCTATGCTAACTCGCAAAATGCCAGTTGGCCGGCCATATAACACGTCATGGTCATCACCGCAGCGTAAACCAGTAGCATAATGACGACGTAGGTCTTGTCCTGCCCATCCAAGCGACATGGCCGTTCCTCCAGGGTTGCAGACTGAACCAGAACGCAGTTGGATATTTCGTACCGTTGCCAGTTTTTCTATCTCGGACTTAGGGATCCACTGGCCGTGACTGTTTTTCATATTGAAAGCGATGATCGGGCCTTGGAGGGTTTCCATAATTTGATTGGTAAATCCGACAGACCTTCGTGCCGTTGAAGTGTCTCAATGCGGAGAGTCGATCATAGAGTCGCTGAGCGAGAAACCCAGTATGGGCAGAAATATTCGACATTGATCCGTACAGACGTTTGTGCGTCTGAAGGGCGGCGTCAAGTGCAATAATGCTGTGAAACGGAAGGGGAATAGGGGGTCGTCAGGTTGTCAGGTTGTCAGGTTGTCAGGTCGTAATTTACTAGTTGCTCCTAGTAGGTCATAGTAGGGGGTAGTAGTAGGGTGTTATTACTAATAGAAGGTAATAAAGATAAATTACGACCGAGCGAGCTGTCAGGTTGTCAGGTGTGGCTAACTAGTAACGCACTTGGAGTTACTAGTAAACTTGGAGCTACTAGTAAAACGTCCCTAACAAACTGTCGCTCGTATTTTATCGGATACCTGACAGCCTGCCGGTTTGATACATAAATTACCTTACAGCTCCCTTTAGATTATAGGTATTACTAGCTATTACTAGTAGAGTACCCGTATCAGGATTACACCCTCTAGGTTATAATACTAGTTATTACTAGTAATAACTAATTAACTAAAGCTGTCAGGTATGTTTCGTGTATTATAAGTGAAATATAATAATGTTTATTATAGATTTATACCTACTACTAGTTATTACTAGGTAGGTCGAGGTATTATAGAATACGGCGTAATTAAAATTCGACTAGTAGCTATTAGTAAGAAGAAAAATCATAAAAAATGAAGTTAGTACTAGACTATTAGTATAGTTATTACTACCTATAACTAGTAGTATCTAATACTACGAGCCCTTTAATATAACTAGTAACTACTAACTATTACTAGTAATTATTCTCTTTTTATTAATATAAAATAGTATATATACTCGGAATATATATATATATACCTTCTTTATATTATAGAACTATAATTTATCTATAAATATCTAGTAATTACTAGTTATACTAGAAGTTACTAGTATTACTAGTATTACTAGTAATTATTCTCTTTTTATTAATATAAAATAGTATATATACTCGGAATATATATATATATACCTTCTTTATATTATAGAACTATAATTTATCTATAAATATCTAGTAATTACTAGTAATTATATAGAATTTATTATTATTACCTCTTTATTTTAAATTATTTTCGACTTCTAACTAACTAACTAGCTAGATTATTTAGATTAATATTTTATTTAACTAGTAATTACTAGTTATATTAAGGAGCTAGTAGTAATATAGATATTATAAGTTAGCTAGTTATTATACTACTATTATTACTAGTAGCTACTATAACTACTACTACCTAGGTAGATATATACTTATATATTACTAATTTTAATTTTATATAACTAACTAGTTAACTAGTAATAGTTAGTAGTTACTAGTTATATTAAAGGGCTCGTAGTATTAGATACTACTAGTTATAGGTAGTAATAACTATACTAATAGTCTAGTACTAACTTTATTTTTTATGATTTTTCTTCTTACTAATAGCTACTAGTAGAATTTTAATTACGCTATATTCTATAATACCTCGACCTACCTAGTAATAACTAGTAGTAGGTATAAATCTATAATAAACATTATTATATTTCACCTATAATACACGAAACACACCTGACAGCTTTAGTTAATTAGTTATTACTAGTAATAACTAGTATTATAACCTAGAGGGTGTAATCCTGATACGGGTACTCTACTAGTAATAGCTAGTAATACCTATAATCTAAAGGGAGCTATAAGGTAATTTATGTATCAAACCGGCAGGCTGTCAGGTGTCCGATAAAATACGAGCGACAGTTTGTTAGGGACGTTTTACTAGTAGCTCCAAGTTTACTAGTAACTCCAAGTGCGTTACTAGTTAGCCACACCTGACAACCTGACAGCTCGCTCGGTCGTAATTTATCTTTATTACCTTCTATTAGTAATAACACCCTACTACTACCCCCCTACTATGACCTACTAGGAGCAACTAGTAAATTACGACCTGACAACCTGACAACCTGACAACCTGACGACTACTGCGCCGGGTATTGAGAGTTTGCTAGCTTTAAGGAGGAATTGAAGATAAGAACCGTGTGTCTTCTAGAACATAATATAAAGGATTCCCTAAAAGACCACCTCCCCTATAGACGGACCTATAGAGCTCCGACAGTTGTTCTGGGCAATCGTTCCAGTGTTCCAACCGTGTTAGGCAGTATTCCCGGTGGGAAGGGGTATTTTCCCTGTGGTCGAACGAGATAGTGTGTCGGCTCTCAACGGTCGAGAGAGCAGGGGTTGTGGGAATGGCACAAGAACTCCACGAAAGTGGTGGGCCGGGTGCGTTCTTCTACCTGCTTCCGCTTCTCCTATTCCTATAGATAAAGGGATTTGTAACCTGGAGAGCTGTTAGCGGCCATCGACTTGGTTAGAACAGGGAAGCAATGGCTAGAGACCAGCGGACGATCCACCAGGCTTCTGTCAGCTGACCACGGCTACTATATGCAGGTCTTAGTCTATTCACAACCGCACTATACCAACTTTATTCTTGCCTGCGCGGAAGCACCACGGTTTTCCTAGTATAACACCACGTAGAATCATGGTCTCTCCGCCGGTACACCCTATTACACCATATCGGATATTGGATGATAACATTCTTCAGATTGAGCTTTATCAACTCGGGTTTCTCCCCCCGGGACTGGGGGACCAAGACCAGAGGAGCAGAGGGAGAGAGTTGTATTAAGAAAGGTGGAGCAAGCTCCTAAACAACTATCTAACTAACTAGAAATCGAGGGGCCGGAGCCTGAGGATCCAGACAATCATCTACAACCCTTACAGAAATTCGATGAATCTCTTCTTGATATGGTCCATGAACAAAAGGATGCGCTCGCGGTTGCGCAGGCCACTAGTGAATTCGTCTTCGACAAGAAGGCCCATCAGGTCCAGCCCAAGGGCCTGCCAATCCATCTGTGTCTTAGTCTTCTCCAATACCTTGACCTCGAAAAGCAGGCTGGAATCACATCGCTTTCGCCAGTAGCCATCCGGTAAAGTCCACTGAAAGGCCTCGAGCAAATTCCGAGCATTTTGGACCTCGATCGCGGTGTATTTAGCAGGAATCACTGTGTCAATTACCAGGATCGCGAGATCCAGCGGAAAATTACCGAGTCCGACGTGTAGGTGTACTTTCCTCCTTTTCCGATTTCGCTGGATGGCCTCTTCGAGCTTCAGCACAAACAATGGATTCTGGCAGCTTGCGCGCGCGGTATGAAGGGCTCTTTTTTCCATCTCACAATACGAGAGGCTGGAGGAATCTGACTCTGCTGGAATATCACGTGGAATACACCATCGGGTCTTATAGGCATGTGTCTCTCGCAATCTATCCTTTTGCCAAAAGTGTTGCGCTGCCTGAACAAAGACGTCGAGGTTTTCCTCGATACGCGCAACACCCCCTTCAACCACTTGGCCGAATAGCGCCCAACAGTGGGCATGGACCAGATATCCAGGCCGTTCTGCTGGTGGCCAGTAGGGGTCCGGTCCTTCTGGGCTGGTGACTCGTGCTGCACCAAGCTCTTCCAGCAGATTCGCAGCATACTTGGGCATAAAGATAGAATCCAATCGACTCCCTATTCGTGCTTGGTGTGGGCTGCGCGGAAACTTTTGAACTCCCCAATCTCCATCGAAGACTGTGATGCCGGTGAGGCGATGCCGTTGATCCGGTTCCACCAGAACTAGGCCGATTCAGCCAAATGACCATGCCGAGTTCCTCTGGGAAATACTCACTTCCGCGGTAGAGAGCTCTCCATATCTGGGGTTGCTTATGGAAAATTGTCCTTTCGACCTCAGCGGACGGGACGAGCATATGTTTCTTCGCACTATCGTCATATGTCTTCCACCGCGCTTGATCAGCATCCATTTCGAGCTTTGTCGGTCCATCCCCATTAATCCAGTCCTCAACGATAGGAAGAGCACATAGTAGGCATGATGGTAGAGAGCACCACATTTTTCTACTGAATTTCCACGTATTACTTGGGTCCTTGCGGGAGGCCATCCCGTTAGGAACCATTACTGCTGAGAGTTCACGATATCGACGATAAAGTATTTATTGCGAGCTGATCTTTTACTAGGAAGATTATTCCCGCGTAAGTCTAGAAATAACCCGAATGATGTAATAGTGAGCGTTGGACATAAGATTCGTCGCGTGGGGCTGCTAGGGGCAAAGTTGTTAGAGACATAACCTTTTAGTAGACTGCCATTTTCTTATAGGCTTTATATACAGCCTGCTTTTGATGGATTCGTTATCAGTTTCTTCTTCCTGATTTTCCCCGATGCTAGTCTCTGCTAGTATATCGCAGTCCTCAACAGAAGTAACACTCCATTCGTCAACTCGCCTAACAATCATTGATAATACGACTTTCGCCGGACTCCGCTGTTCTGGCGTTGCGAAATTTGGTGATACAGCAACGGTAACTGCGCTACTTGAGAGTCATGCCGGTTCGGACTCGAATGACGAAAGCCGGCGAACCCTGCTGATGGGGGCTACCTAGAGGCCAAGACGAAATGATCAAGATTCTTCTTACGCATAGTACAAATACGAAGCTCACTGATGGGCATGGTCGTACACCTCCATGTATGGCTGCATATAGATGCGGTTGAGCTATTGCTCAGTTCACAGTCTTGTGATGGCTTCAACTTTATTGACGGTATCGATGTTCAATATGATCGGTCTGTTGAATCTCCCTAGTGTCACATGCCGTTTCTTCCCATGCATGTAGTTTATCACTACCCTTCCTTTCCTCTCTACATAGTTCAACTCTCAGTTCTTACAACTGTCACACACTACAATACACATTGTACTGCCTTTTATGATCTCATCTTGCATGCAGATCTTATCACGGTGAAGCACTGTGGCGCGCTGCAGAAAGAGGACATACAGAAGTGGTTAAGCTCCTCCTTGCAAATGGCGCTGAAGTAAACCTCTCGGACAATGATGGCCGCACGCTGTTGTCTAGGGCCACGGCAAATGGTCGTAAGGCAGTGAAGGAACTATTGGAGAGAGGAAACGGAATTTTCTCTTACTCTTGATTTGCTAGCAAAGCACTATAATGTAGCCGAAATGCGTTGAGACTAAATATCTCATCCAATATGCGACGTTATAAACCATAATAGAAGCGCTCTGTAGGCATATAGTGTTATATTTTATACAGATAGAAGTAGGTATATCTTTAATACGGGCTAAAAACTTCAAATGCCACTTTAAGGTTATTATATAAATACCTTCTTCTTCTTCTTCTTCTTATTTACTCTCTCCCTCCCTAGGGATCTGATAGATATTGGCTCTAATGACAATACTACTATACCGTCTTCTATACGTATATTAGGGAGGAAGAGGAAGTATATTGATAATAAAGAATATAGTTAAGTATCATTAGTAGATAGTAAAACATTAGATATCGTATTGATTACTCTTATTACTCTTATTGATTTTATAAATCTTATCCATAGTTAATTCTGCCAATTAATTGACTTAATTCCTATAAAGACTCGGTCAACTTGGGTCTTAGACTGTAATTTAAATACTCAAAAATACTAGAAGAATCTACATTACTTGACATTTTTATATTATTTGAGGCCAATTAGGCCCCTATAAAAGCCTAGTAGGCTTTTATCCTAGGCCCAAGGCCTATCGATGGGCCTAAGGACTGGCCCAAGACCACCCCATTTGCGGGTTGGTCCGGGTTGGGCTATGGGCTTTATGGGCCGGTGCGGAGGTCTATGCGACATTATCATATTCGAAGACGCAGAACAACCTTCTCCCCCGAAGCCCCAGCCCGGTTCTTGTTCAACGCCTCGTCGATCTTCTCCAGACCACCCTCCACCACCACCACACGATTAGGAACATACTCCCCCGTCGCCACCCAGCCATCCTCCCCTCCGAGATGCGCAAACAGCGGCTCACTCAGATACCGCAGAGTCGGCGCACTCCCCAATCCCATCACCGCGTGAACCTCCACCTTGGGCTCCTTCGACGCCCCCAGCGCCTGTGCATCCGCTTCGGGCTGCATCACCGTGACAAGCGGACTGCCGGCCTGCACCTTCGCAGCCTGCAGAATCTCAATCCCCAACACCTGCGTATCCTTCAACGAGATAGTATCAAACACAAAGTCAATCGGCAGACTCTCCAGTCCAGCCACATACTGCGACACCGTCGCCTGCATCCGATCCAACACCACCGTCGCGCCCAGCCCCTTCAAATACTCATGATGCGACTGACTCGCGCTCGTCACGATCTGGTCATACCCGGACAACCGCGCCAGCTGAATCGCATACTGTCCCACCGACGAACTCCCCCAAGCACAACCACCGCCTTCCCCTTACCCGCTTGCGCTCCCCCAGTCTCCCACGGCGGCGGCGCAACTCCCCGTCCACTCCGGTCATAGATCCCTGTCAGCGCAGCCACAGTCGCAAGACTAATCCCGGCAGCCTGCTCATCACTCACCAACGACGGCGTCTTGGCAACCAACGCCGCCGGCATCTTGCAGTAGGTCTGGAACGTACTGGAATCGTAGTTCCCAACAATCCCCTGGAAGAATACCCGGTCTCCGACAGCGAAGTTGCTCACGTTGCTGCCGACGGCGGCGATCGTGCCGGCTGCGTCGGAGCCCAGCACCGCCGGGTAGGAATCTAGGTAGACGCCGTAGTCGCGGAGCTTCCAGTCGACGGGGTTGATGGCTGTTGCGGTGATACGGATGCCGACTTCGTCTGCGCCTAGGGGCGGCAGGCTGCGGATGGTGATGTCGTGTTCTCTGGAGGTTTTGTCGGTCAGAGTGACGGCGGGGAATGTGGGTGGGATTGCCATGATGTAGGTGCAGATCTTTGTTGGTTTGTGGTTTGTGGTTTGTGGGCTGTGGTGAGCCGATGTCTGTAGTATGCTAAACTGGTTTGCACGCTTGTTTGATTCGGCAGGCGTACCTGGGGGTTGTATATGTTGTGTTAGTTGATAGTTACCTAAGGATGTAGGTGGTGGACGTGATGATGCTTGTTCGAACTTTATATACGCTGTTGAGCTGTGGACGGTGGGCCCGATTAGCAAGCAGATCATCGATTATAAAGCAGTTTGTCACCTCATCTTCCGAAGGGAGAGGTATACACAGCCCATCCGAGCTACCCGCAAAGCTCATATGTGTGCTCCCCAGGACTTGGCAGGGTTTTGCAAGTGATGCCTGAGGCATATTTAAATGCCTCAGGCAAGTAGATCTTGGGCGAGCTAAGGATTACTAAGCGCATAACAAACTTGTAGACCTAAGCGAGGACTTGGCATGATTATATAATTAAGTAATGCCTACGGGCCGCAGCTAGTCAACCAATTGTATTGATGATTCCACCAACGATCACCAGAGTGATGTCTTGGTTCTTGGCTGAAGTGTATTTAGCAACATTCTCGAGGGCAGAAATGAGAATTTCACAAGAAAGATCCGGACTCTAGTCGCGTATCGCGGCTGGTCGAGCGGCTAGCTCTTGTAGGCTACGAGCACTACGACTCTAGCGGAGAGTGGATAGCGACTAACCCATTTTAATCAACGTGGAAGTTTTGAATGTAGATCTACCAGCTTCCAGTCGACTCGTGTATCTCCAGTCATTCGTGCATACTCGAATTCATTTTGGCAGGAGCATACGGAACTACTTTAGGGAAACTATAACCCTTGTTCAGTCGCGCACATCACATGATTCTGCACATTGAGCACAGGAATGACATACCAGTAGAGACTTGACGCTTGAAAAATAAAGTAATAACCTCGTACTATCTCCTCCGTGCTTTGCCTGACAGATAATTATACCCCCAAAAAGCGAGAAATTCATCACCATATGTAGAGATGAAATGACTAGTCCATAGAATAGGGCCACGGAAGCATGCATAGCACAGTTGCACAGGTGGGATTCAATATAGTTGGCCAGCAAGATTGTAAAATTAGATAAAAACTTTGGTAGACTGCCTTCGTTCATTATCCCGTAACCCTCCAACGATGGCAGGATTTACAAGTAAACATTTTTGTTGCGAGGTCACGTGACCTTGCATGTTTGCTCCCAGCTACTTGGTCCCCACAACTTTAGTTTAGATAGTTCTTCTCTTCTTCTTCTCTCTGCGCAATAGACAATTTTCTAGTTTACCTACATTCTTTGTCTAAGAGGTTATGAGCTCCTGGCTGTGAAGTCATTAGTTTAACAGCTAACTTTATACCCTATTTCCTCCGAATTTTTTCTCGGTATCGTTGCGTCGTACTGAAGCTTATTGTGGGAATTAGAGTTTTCTACTAGTCGAACTTCTCGACCGCCCTATTTACCGCTATACGATCTAAGGATCTATAGCTATTAACCGGACTAGATTCTTATCTAGTCTATAATACCTTAGCCGTCTTAACTTAATAGTTAACGGCTATTATTAATTAGGAATTATATCGAATACCCCCGAAGGTTCCCCCCTATTATCGGCGCTAGCCGCGCGTCGCTATATTTCTATTTCCGCTTTATCGACCTTTAAATTCGACTATAATTATCGAAATAAGATCGATATTACGACGCTTATTCTAAAACTAAAAGGCGAGTCTAATTAGGCTACCTAGGAGTAAAGCCTTTATATAGCTTTAAAGGAGAATAATAAGGCGTATATTCGTATAGTAAATAAAGAAAATACTAAACCTACTCGTCCCGATTATCTTAATATCTCTTCGAGTATTATACGGGAACTTACTCTACTTAGAGCCGCGAGTCTAGATCTTATTACCGACGCTATTATTCGCGAATTAATTAAGGAGCGTTAAAATAATAATAATCGTCTTTGTTCCGAGTATAGAAAGGAGGTTGATAAGTAGGATTAGTATAATATATATATTTATAATCTAATTATAAGTACTTTAGAACCGATTCCTACCTCTTATATTCGTTATATTAAGAACGCGAGGGATATATTCTAGGCCTTAAAGGTAGAGTTTAGTTCGCCCTTTTAGTAGACTAACTATAAATATTTCGAGTATCTTTTAAACCTTTAATATAAGGGGAATAATCTATAGGAATTCGTTCGAAAGTATAAGGAGATAATCTTCGATATTACGTAGCGTAGACTAAAGTTCGATAACTATACTATTTTAAATTATTTTATTAAGGCTATTTCTTATAATCTATACTATTAAATTTTTATTTAGACCCTTCGGCTTAATCTCGATAATCTAAATTTTATAGTTAAGGTATATTAATAGTTTATTTTAATAGAGGGTTCTATTAAGATATCCTTAAGTAATCTTCCTTCGATAACCCCCTCTACTAATATAACTTCTTCCGGTTTAAAGGACTCTTCCGATAATAAGAAGAAAAAGGATAAGAAGAAACCTTAGTAGAATAATAAGGCTAAGGACTCTTTTTCTAAATTAAAAGATAAGAAGTAGAAGGGTAAGAAGCTAAAAGTAGACTTTAAAAATAATATCATTTTTTACAAATTCTATAACTCTATAGGAAATTACTTTATAAAAAACTATATCCTAAAGAATAGTACTTCTTCTAATACCGTCTCTATAGCTTAGCTATAGTAGGTATTTTAGCTATAGTAAGCTTTTTAGTAGTAGGATTTTTAGCCTTAGTAGATAGCTATACTATAGCTAGGCTAAATTCTAGGCTCTATAGACGCCTATAGTAGGGTTATCCTAACCTAGCCGCCCTATAGTATAAATATTATTTATACTCCGGTATCCTATCCTTAGGAACCCTAGTAAGGATCTATCGATAATTAGATAAAACGGTATAACAACCTCTTTACTCTTACTTTATTTAATTAGTATAGGATTTACTCTATTTCTACCGATAGTATATTTACCGATAATAGTAATATCTCCCGCTAGATAATTAATTCCGGTATTACTTATTATATAATACCTTACCGTTCTATCTTTATTAATTTCCGGGAATATATTCTACCGGTAACGACTACTACTAGTAATATATTCTATACTAAGGATTATAGTAATATTATTCTTCGGATAACTAATTTATCTTCCTAGAATAGTATAGGGATTTTAACTCTCTATAAGGTATAGCTAACGCCTACTCTAAAGGCTAGCTTAATCTCTATCTCCGCTCTTAATAAAGATTAGATTAGTACTTTAATCTAGGAAGGTATTATAATATTTAGCCTTCGAAATTAGGCTAATCCTTTAATCGTTAGATATACTACCTATAAGGATAAGTACTACTAGCTAAATTACTATAGTATTTATAAGATCGATACTATACTTAATCTTTAGTCTAATCTTCTAACTAGATCCCTAAATTCCGTCTTTATAATAAAGAAAGACGGTTCTCCTACTACTATCTCTATTAATTTAGCCTATCGACGGGCCTATTATATAGGAGAGAACCGAGTTTATAAGATAGAAACTTATTCTAAAGGAGTTAAACTATTAAAGGGTAAGGGGGTTACCTTTCCCTATATTCCCTATATTAAAGATAAAGGCTATATCTTACCTTTTAGTAAGTAGAGGACAATTAGATTAAGGCCTAGAGAATTTATTTATCTTAATATCTAGAGACCGATTTCTATTACGTCTTATAGAGATAAATATTACTTTATAACCTTTACCGACGACGCTACGCGGTTTACCTAGCTCTATCTTTTAAAGTTAAGATCTTAGGTTACTAAGATATTTATTTAGCTTAAGACTTATTTAAAAATATAGTTTAGTTACGTTATAAAGAGGGTCTATAGTAATAATACTCCTAAGTATAAGCTACTTACTACTTACCTTTTATCTAAAGATATAATCTAGAATCTAACTCCGCCTTATACTAAGTAGCTTAATAGTATTCCTAAGATTAAGAACTATTATCTTATCGAGCCCTTAGTTACTATAATAATAGAATACTAGCTTCCGAAATACCTTTAGGGCTATCTAATTAGTAGAGTTAATTATATAATAAATTGTCTATATACCTCTTATATTAATATATCTCTATATAAAGCTTTATATAGCAAAAAGCCTAATCTATCTTATCTTCGGGCCCTTAGTTACTAATATTAGTTCTTAATTCCGAAGGAAAAGAGGACTATAAAGCTTAATACTTATATAAAAGAAGTAAGATTAATTACCTATAATAAGGGTAATTACTACGTTCTCTATAATATTCGAATAAAGAAGATTAAGCGTTCTTAGAACGTTATTTTTAATAAGAACCCTACTCCGGAGGTCTTACCTAAGCCTACCTATAACTTAGACTTAGTATCTTAGGGACCCCTACCTTAGGTCTTATCTAATCGCTATATCCTAATTAATTTCTTAGAGCCGTCCGAAGGATTCTAGATTTATAGTAAGTAAGTACTATAATCCTTACCTTTTCGATCTAGGTTAAGTACGCCCCTATCCCCCTCTATAGAGGATAATAACGAAGATCTCTTTAGTCCGGCGAGCCTACCGCTAAGTCTTATAGACCCTATAATTATAGAATACCGTATTCTAGAAGTTACTAGTTTATCTAATCTCTCTACGATTAATAACCTCCCCGATCCGAATTCCTTCGATCCGAACTTCTCTAATAATAACGATATTATAGCGGGTAGTTTAGGGAGGGAAGTAGAGGTATAAAGAATTAGAAATAGTCCCTACTTTAAAGTAGGCGGGGTATAAGCCCCTATAGGGCTATAACTAGCTTCCCGGTAAGCTATAAATTAAGACTCCCGTCTAGATTTTTCTTATTTAAATCTTATCTCTAATAATCCGAGAGACCCCGACTTTATCCTAATATCTCGTATATCTACTAATCCGTCTTAAGTACTCCTACGTTAATCGGCTCGACTTCCGAAGCTATTCTAAGCCTATATTAATAGTATAGCTAGTCGATTATTTTTCGATATTAATATACTCTAGTTTTTAGCTAATATACCGGATATTTTAATTAGTCTATTCTCTATAGTAACGTTAAAGTTTAGAGAATAATATATACCGTCTAAGCTAATAGCTAAAGACGTTAGTTTTAAACCTAATAGATAGAAGGAAGTTATAGCTTATATTAAGAAAGATAAATAGCTCGCTACGGTATATAAAGAGCTAAGTAGATAAATTAAAAATAGTACCTAGAGATAGATTCTACGATCCTCTCGGACTTTAAAGAGGAAGCTACTAACGCTACGTTAGGTCTTTAAGATTAAGTATAATAGTATTTATAAAGCTCGTTTAGTAGCCTATAGTTTCTAATAAGTTAAAGATCTTAATTTCTATAAGGTCTATACGGTAGTTGCTAAGCCTATATCTTTTAAAATCTTTATTACTATTATAGTAGTAAAGGGCTAGTAGATCTATTATATCGATATTATAACTACTTTCCTCTATATAGAACTAAAGGAACCGATTGAAATTAAGCTACCTAAGGGTCTTTAAGAATAGTATCTAGATAATATTAGATTACTAATAAAGATAATCTATAGACTAAAACAAAGTCCTAGGGAGTAATATAGACTACTCTATAATATTATAATCTCCTTAGGTTTCGTCCGGACTTAGTCTAATTATTCGATTTTTATTAAATATAGTAATAGTAAGGGTAAGGACCCTATCTTTATTATAGTCTATATCGATAACTTACTTATTTTATCTCTATTAATTCGTCTAATTTAGGACTTTAAGACTAAGATTAGTAAGTACTTTAATACTTCTAATAAAGGCCTTTTAGAGCGCTATCTTATTATTAATATCTATTATAATAAGGGTAATTAGATCGATAGGTCGACTTTTAATAGAGGGATAATTTACCTTTCCTAATTAGATTATATCGATAAGATTCTCTAGTATTTTAGTTTAGACAATTATAATTCTTATACTACGCTAATAGACGAGAAGTAGATTCTTATTCCTTTTAATAGTACCGCTATAAAGATAGAAGTAAAAGAATATTAGATAAAAATCGGTACTTTAATCTAGCTAATAGTATCTACCCGTCTTAATATCTCCTTTATAGTAATTAAGCTTACTAAGTATACTAAGAATCTAGGTCTAGAGTATTTTCTAGCTTTAAAGCGGGTTTTTAGATATCTAGTAGGTTCGAAGTATCTATCGATTATTTTTTCTCTAGCCCGCTATAATCTAGTCTCTTATAATTTAATTCGCTAGGATTTAGCTTACTAAGATTACCTAATCGGCTACTATAATACTAATTAGGTAGGGCCTTATAGTAAGAAGGGGCTCTCGACTTCGGGATTTATCTTTATAATATCCGGTAATACTATCTCTTAGACGTTAAAGAAGCAGCCTTATATAGTATTATCTACTACGGAATCCGAGTATATTACCGAGGCTTTAGTAATATAAGAAGCAATCTAGCTATCCTAACTACTTACGGAGATTAGATTGCCTAGTTTCTTACGGAAGCCTATCTATATCTTTATAAATAATAATAGTACTATTATACTAGCTTCAAATCCCGAGTTCTATATAAATACGAAATATATTGCTATACGGTATTACCGCCTACGAGAGGAGGTTACTACTAGCAATATTAAATTTATTAAGATTCCGACTATAGAAATAGCGGCGGATAGCTTTACTAAGCCCCTTTCTAAAATCATGTTCCGGAGATAGATTCAATAGATGGGTTTAATTACCTATAAGCCTTGATTTTCAGTTTACATAGTGAGAGTAGGGGGTGTTTGTTTTTTACTTTCTGGTTTTTCAGAGAGTTTCTTGGAAGAGAATTTGGGACTATGGATTATGGTATGGATCAAATTACTAGTCGTGGGGGGTGTTGCGAGGTCACGTGACCTTGCATGTTTGCTCCCAGCTACTTGGTCCCCACAACTTTAGTTTAGATAGTTCTTCTCTTCTTCTTCTCTCTGCGCAATAGACAATTTTCCAGTTTACCTGCATTCTTTGTCTAAGAATTTTGCTTCCACGGCTGGGCGTAGGACTTCCTTAGCAAACTCCCAAGCTGTAAACAGTAGATTTTTCAAGCCCCCTCCAGCAGCGACAGTGCCCTCATACGCCTCCTGGAGCCTGTTGAACAGCATCAACTCAGTTCCTGAACCCTCATGTATATGGCCGAATACATGTAGCCTCGGTCGAATTCTCCATAAGGTCTGTAGCAAATAAGGACAGCCATACTTCAGTAAGTCAAGATGAGCAAGTGGTGGGCCATGAGTAATCAGCACATCAATTCCATCTGGTATTGAGCCAGCCCACACATCTTGATTTCGGGGATATTGAAAGGCCCAGTTGCCATGCCTGCGAGAGTAGGGACTTCCGTAGACCCTCAGTTGACGACCATTTGGGCAATGAATTGTTACTTCCTCTTTTTCGAGGTAGATTATATCTCCCCAGTCGATTTGAGTTCGCCCGGAGGCTGTTTGATGGGACACATCATCCCGCGCTGAATCAAGTAGTAGGTCATGATTGCCAGCAATCACAATTTTGGTGGGATGAGGTAGACTGCGTAACCAGGTGATCGAATCTTGAAGTTCCTGAAAAGATCCAGATTGTGTGAGATCACCAGCATGGATGAGAATGTCTCCATCATGGACGTCGGTTTGGGTGTTGTGAGTATCAGAGATACAGACAACCGCGATGGGTTTTGTGAGTGGCGTAGCTGGAATAGGCTCGTACCAATCATAAAGCATTTTTGCGAGGAAGACACAAGGCCGGGCGCGGAATTCTTGCCATCGTCCTGGTCGCTGTCGGTGAATGAGCTCGTGAAGACTGGACATGATTGGGGAATCCGGACCCAGGGTCCAGGGATTTATCGGTAGTAACGAGCGACCACGTGAAATACTAGGCCGTCGAATCATGTCAAGATCTTGTGCCAGAGTTGATGTCGGCCTTACAGACGGATTTACCATGTGACGTCATAATGAACGCCTCAGGCAGGAAAATCTTGTGGAGGCCGAAATCCAGGCATCCACAAGTGTTTGTCATTGTTTGTTCTTTTTCTATACATTACCTTATTGGCTGGCACACATTGTAGTGGACAAATCTGGATACACCTTCGCACTCGGCTATACCTAGTCAGGTTTAGTGTATATGCAAGAAATGCTGCATAATACCAACTTTATTCTTGCTTAACACCAGTTATGATCGGTACACTCTATTACACCATATCGGATAGTTATTGTGGGAAGGTTCGGTCTATGGATTTATGAGCCAGAATAGGGGAAAAATATTATGCGCCCTAGAATTTCAGATAGTTACATACTTCCTATTGTTAGATCTCTTTTTCCACGCTTCTATATAGGTATTTAGTCAGGCAATTTCGATATTGATCCGGATCACCGAGCCAATGCAATTGTATTGCGTGCTAATTGCTGATGATCGATGGTGATGAAGTGATGATCGATGGAGGGGAAAAGGAGAAGAAGAGAGAGAGGAGACTTCACGGAGAAATTAAACCTTGTTGGTCAAGGTGTGATTACTATCAAGTTACTCTTCTACCCTCAAACTATTTTTACCCTTTGTCCCCATCTCCAAGTTGCCTGCCATGACGAATATCTCACCGATCTTGAAGGAACGCAGGTCACGTTTGATGCTGTTACGGAGCCACCTTTCAACTTCCCTGCCTAGAAATGGATAATACTTGAGAATCTCGGCGAAGATTCAAATCGCCTGACAAAGGAAGACATCGCCGCGGAGCTAGGGCCTTCAAACACCTCCGGGAAATTCCTATACCGACCTGCTAGTGAGGAAGACGACAATATACGCGCATTTTTACGCATTTACCGATAGCTTCCTATAGCCGGAACTAAAACGAAGAAGGCCGCTATACGGGCCAGATAGGCTGTCGACACCCTTCCCGACCACCTAGAACTAATCGCTTTCTAGACATTTATAAAGCTAGACTACAACGTTATTCCTCGGCTACTAGGCTATCAACAGCGCCGGCAAGACCACGATAAAGGTATTCCTAGAGGATACATTACGTATATTCTATAGGAAAAAGTCGCTGGCGAGTCTCTTAATTTGACCGAATTCTAGAGGCTCCCCTTTGCCGATCGCAAGGCTATCCGCGATAAGTTTCGCCAAGTCTATACGTATAAGAATCTAGTAACTATAGCGAAACATTAGGCTAACAGAGAGCAGAAGGTTTTTACCGTACGGGTATATGCCATATATAGGTCGTCCTTCGAAGATTATTTATAATAAGTCTAGTGGCTAAATATATGTCTATACGAGATCATCTATATAGACTATGATAATCTAACATTTATCTCTAGGCATATCTGCGGATTCAGACTCGCATCTTCATTTGAGGGACCTCAGCAGTGGGATGATGTTAACTACTTCCAATACGGACTCATCCAACCCTCCGATAATCGATTCTACTGGGAAGGAACACCACCCGAAACGGCGGATTGGATCGAAGATGACAACGGCTGGACGTGGTGAATATGGAAACAACCACAGTGGAATACAGCCTGAAGTATGCTCCGCCATATTGTTCCTCCCTAGCTGGCTTAGTAGACAAATATGACCCAAGGGATTGCTGCAGGCGTAATAAAGGCGTCCCATGTCGGATGTTACATACGATTTATTCAAGTCCGTCTTCATTGTCAAATTTAGCTCCAGTTACCGTATGATCATGGGAGTAGGCCAATTTGACGCATATAGTTCTTGCTTGAATGACTGTATTTGCTACACACGAAATTATTTGGGCAGCATACTGTGATTAACATTGTCTGATCCATTGACTGCGAGGAGTGGGATTGGCAATTGGCCCTTGGAATTCAGCAATGGTAGCAAGATACAGAAGTCATTGATTGAAGGTCAACACAGGCCCAATAGACTGATCTGTAGGGTCCGGAGGCGCACATCGGACGGAGGATTTGATCACGGCGGAATGCTCAATTCTCCAAGTTGAGCTGACCTGGATTTGTCGTAAGAATATGGTCTGGCGGTAATTGGTGATGAAACCATACATGCAACCGAGGTCTAACATGTGTGAAATAGGTTGTGCAAGGATATAACTCTCTCATTGGTTCATATTGCCAACAGTAATTTAGATCCACTAATGTTGCAGTTATTAATTGAAGCCTGCCGATGCTTAAAGGTGTCTTAATACCAAGGTTATAAGGTTAATAAAATCAATGCCTTCTAAAATGGGCCTCGTGACTTTTAAAGTAAATTAAATCTGAAGTGATGAAGTGAATCTGAACTGAATCTGAACTGAATCTGAATTGAATTTGAAGAAAACTTGGAGAAGATTTGCAGATCTCTTGGCCGCTAGTTTAGGGGTGGGTGAATCTTTATAGGATCGACTGTTGTAGGCAATAACCAATGACAGAGGACCTTCCGCAACAAAGTTGGGTTTGTAGTACGTCGGTGCTCCAACAAACACCCACGGCACCTTAACTTCGTCGACTTGAAGTCCCCTAGTGCTATATTGATTGATTGGGCCTCGAATACTGCACCAAGGACCTGTCCAGCAGCTTTCTGCAATCGAGCATAAACCCCGGCCTCATCTCCGACGAAAACTTTTCATTAGTGAGATTTCTGGCTTGGATGCTGATCTGAATCACTCGGTTACTCCACTGTTGGGTATCGTAGGCATTTTCGGCAGTAGTAGTGAATCTGTCCACGGTAGAAGTGGGCTAACAAATCGTATTTTATGAAGGGCGCTTGACGTCGTCCGGTTATCGCTAGCAAGGAGATTAGGAAGAGCGAGATAGCAATATCACGGGAGCGTTTTATAGAGGGCATCTTTTAGAATTTGTTGGCTTAAGAGGCTGTAAATTTCGAATGCTAGCGACCCGCATAATTTTATATAGAGTGTTTAAGATCGAGTGATGTAGTTGTGGTGAATTGTGTCAAATTGCAAGGTTGCATACATGGGATGATACCATACAGATTATGTAATCTAGCTTAGTCATAACCGCACAGAAACAGCAGTTTCTATTATGTAGAAAATGCAGAGTTCTCCATAGACCTGGCTTTGAACCGCCCATAGGTTCCAAATCTCAGAACCTGAACCTAACCTCTTGAAGTTAGGTTCCAAAGTTTTTAACCTGGACCTAACCTTAACCTCAAGGAGGGTCGTTGAGGTTCAACCTCATCAACCTACATGAACCTGCATATGTATAATTTTTTGACTTTTTTCCTCTTTTGGCTGGATAAAAGTGATGATTCATCTCGGATTTTTACAGCTGTTTTGTTGACCTGCCGGCGTTCGTCTGATTACTCTATCAACGTGGTGAATTATGAAGAAATAATTGTTTAGAAGTAAACAGAAGACAAAGCCACTGATAAATTACAAGTAATATTCGATGATATCGACGTGGTAGGTGGTCAGTAGAGGTCATCGGCGAAATTGTATATAAAGATGCAGATATATATACTTTGAACACTGTAACCCATGTGTATCTTGACCAACAGAACTACATATTATCGAGAAAACTACTAAAATATATATAAAATCCCCTCATTTTTATATAAAACAAATCGTTATGCCTCCCTCTATGAATTTGTCTCGAAGGGTTTAGGTCAAATTATCTATATCTATCGTAAATCTAGTCTAAAGATTCTTATCGTTAGACTTAGCTATTTAAACAAGACGATTTTCCTAACTTAAGGTTAACCTCTAGGTTCTATACGGGTAAGTTAGGTTAAGTTCTAGGTTCTATACGGATATATGAGGTTAACTTTTAGGTTCTATACGGGTAAGCGAGGTTCTCTTCTAAAATAATCTACTATAATAGCTAATTAGATATAGGTCGGTAGATATAAAAGACGATAGATCAATTCTAGCACGTAGAATAGGGTCAAACGGATCCCCTAAGAATATCGCGTATCTTTTCGAAAGAACGAATAAGTAAGTTTCTTATTCTCTTCCTTAGTAATTATACCCTCTACTAGTTTACTAAATCTATTATATCTTAGCCCTCTAGCGCCTATACGTCGTCTAGCTTCGATACCACGGACGGTTTACTATTAGACGCGCTCTAATACCTTCTCCCCGACGATTCCCTATCCTAGCGCGATAGCTAGAGCCAACTACTATCCGAAAGCCAGCTTAATTCAGTTCTAGACCTTCTAGACTATCGATCTTATATGGCTTATTAGGCCCTAAGCACCCTACCGCGAATTAAGCCCGATCGTATTAACGAATTCATTATTTACGCGCTAGAAATGACCGCGGAATTCGTTAAGTAGTGGCTTAATACTAGCTATAGTAAGTTGAAGCGGATCAACTAGGATAGGAACCTAATAAACCGTCGAGTAGAGTGCTAGAAAGGGTTCTAATAAGTTGCAAATGCTAAAGATAGCAAGCTAGGCGTTATATATAATAAGTGCTGTATAGTTCTCACGTATCTAGCTATAAATCATACTAGAACTTTATCGATATAGAAATATCTCGATAGGCTAAGGTGCCGAAAGCAGCTACCGAAGAAGGGTACTAGTAGTATCCGATAACTACTTAGTGACGCGGTATATTCTATAGGGTCTAAATCTTATATTAGTACTAACGATGAACTTACTATCCTATAGGCCGAGAAAAGACTAGCGCCTATCTTTATATAATAAGTATAGGAGTAGATACTTCTTAATCTAATCACTATATCAAATTTACCCTTTTTGTTTGTCGAGCATCAAAAATTCTGTGACCTCTTTTCCTTCGTACGGCTAGCACCCGAACTACCTAGCTTTCCGTTAAGAAAGGTGATTCGCGAGCGCCTCCGGGGTTTCGTGTTATAGTATCAATAGGAGATACTATAAACGCTTCTATCTAGTATAAAGCTATCACTCGTACTTAACTATTAGACTTCACTATTCTAGGACGCGTTTATAGCTATTATAGGATACTTCCTAGATAAGGAATAGGAATATCGCGAGGTCCTCCTTAGGTTTAAGCCACTTTCTAGAACTCATTCTAGCGTAAATCTTAGTAAAATTGTTCTCTAGATTCTATAGAAGCATCAAATCACTAATCGTATACTAGCGGTAATAACTAATAATGCGTCTAATAATAAGACGCTTATCACTACGATTAATAATTCAATCTATAAACTATAGCTAAAGACGGATTTAACGATTATTCAAGTGCCCTGTCTTACTTATATCATCTAGTTAAGTCTAGTTGAATTGCTTAGTAAAATAAAGGCCTCGCTAAAAAATGACAACACTGAATTAGAATAGTCCGAGGATTGTGTTAGATTACTACGTACGCGCTAGTAGAAGCGAGATATCACCGATACCCTAAATAAGATAGGCTTTTCTTAAATAGAATTCTATATATTTAATATACTAACTATTATAATAGGTTCGAGGCCTTACGGTTTTCATTAATAGAAGTCCTTAACGCAAAGAAGTATTTCTGAAACTCGAGTCTAATAGGCAAAAACTTATTCCAATCTAAGATATTCGTACGCGGTAGAATTCAACGTTTCTTATACTCCGCCGGGCTAAAAGGCTTTCTACTACCTTTAACGAGTACTATTCGCTCTATTACCAACCTTATTTTATATTAAATACGGAGGGGTAGCGGTAGATTGACTATCTACTTTATATACTCTAGCCCTTTTTTATATATACTATACTAGTCTGCTAGACTAATAACTCGAGTATTCACCTTATCTTTAGTATTTATAATAGGCTCTTTAATCATCTCGAAAGATCGATATATCAGCTTCGTCGAAAGAGAGTTGCCTAGAAACAGCTTATACTTTCCTCCCTTGAGGCTGCAAAAGATAAACTATTAAAGTACTATAGTATAACGGACCTTATTAAAGGTAATCTCTATACTATTAGAACGATCCTAGATCCGTCTAATAAAATAGAGTTCTTTTTAACAAGTGATTAGGCCTTAGATAATATAGGAAAAGACTATACAAAAGAATATCGTTAGAGCCTCTAGTCTCTTTTCGAGAAATACCGCCTACGTATACTATTAAATATATCACTATCGGATAGTATATCGTTCCTAGCTAAATCAGCGCTCGAGAGGATTCTTAAGGACAATTCCTTATAGCGATCAACTAGTCTATATTAGGATAAGCTTACCAAGTACCTCTAGAGTAGTAAGTAAGTAAGCCGCCGATATAAATCATTATACTAATATTCTTAGCTACCGTTAATAAATCCGCTTAGGTCTTCTAGAGAAACCACGAGAGGGAGTTCCCTATTCTTATAAGTATTACTCGTGATATAATGTCTATTCTAGCGACTAGTGCCGGTGTTAAGCGTCTTTTTAACTCTGCCCGGGATATTTGCTACTATCGCTGGGGGTCGTTGAGCCTAGAGACTATCCGCGATATTATATTATATATATATACAATAAGGTTTGATACTAAGGAGGAGTAGCGATAGGTTCTCTAAGAGTATCTTTTAGAGCAAGAGATCGTAGCTTCGTCCGAAGAACTTTATATTAGAATATATTGTGCCGAGGCTATTAGTAATACTAAGGAAGATATAGAGATGCACCTTCATACCCCGGCTATAGTACCACTCTTAGCCGTTGCCGCTAGAAAGCGGCCGGCTATCAATTCTAACGACGAGGACGACTCTGATACCGATGACATTACGGATCTAGAAGAGACCTTAGCATTACTATTACCTAATACGCAGCAGCGTGTATTAGGTAGAATGCGGAAGAGGTCGAGACTCTTGGATGGATATATAGTTTAAGCTTTAACAGTTAAAGTCTAGGAAATCTATGTTCTAGATATAAGGTGTGAATTACTGATATCTAAAAGCCCTATCGAAGATAAAGCTATAACATGCAATTCTAGACATACAGTATCCTTCTGTAAGGCTATATAGTAATCAAATTTTGGTTTACGGTTACAATGGAATACAGCCTGTTTCGACATATATTATGCAACTGAGCCCGAGTCACGTTTTTTAACTGTTTCTCATCTTTGTTTAACCTGAGGTTCACCCGCGGGTCAACCTGATGAGGTTCGGTCCTCGGATGGAACCTCCCTCAGGTTCCAAAACCTAGAACCTGACCCGCCCAAATGGAGGTTCAGGTTAGGTTCTTCAGGTTCACCCGCGGGTAAGTGCCAGGTCTAGTTCTCCATATCAGCCCTAAGGTCCATACATTTCAATACGTCAGATTTCTGTTAGTTATGAGCCCGGCTTTGTTCTATTAAACATCAATTCAAAGATCAACCCTACTTCCAACCGATACTAAGGTAATTTACCTAGCGACGAAGTAACCCCTAAATCGAAGAAAAGAATCGGAAATCTGTCTAAATTATAGCCGATTATCTCTCCGCGGGTTCATCCTCCCGCGTTATCCTTAAGGACACCGAAACTTAGGATATATAGATAGCTAATATCGAATCGATTGTAGTGCAATTTAACGTTTAGGAGCTATATAATCCTAGTAAAGAAAAAGAACCGGAGATACGGAAAGCTCCGGTAGAGATCATGTTGGAGTCACGTGACGGCCATGTGGGGCCGCAGGTGATCCTGACCCACAGAACTCAGGATATTGTTAGACAGTAGCTAGTTTTTTCTTCTCTTCTTTTCTTTCTCTCCAGAGTCTACAATATTAATCCCTTGAGGTTAACATTCATTCCTATATAGCCTGTATTCCATCTGATAGGTTATAAGCCCTTGCTCGTACGACTCCGAGTATCTTTTCGTTGAAATTTTCAACCAATCAGAGTTTTCATTTTTTTTTTTTTTTTTGTGGGACGCGTTTTTCGGCCCGTTCCGCATCTCCACTTTTCGACTGTCGATCCTATTATTGATTTTCATTAACGATCTCATCGTAAGTCAACATTTTCATTATTCTGATCATCTAGGAAGCTTCGTTTTCCGTGGTCACCTTATCGACGCGACGGACGGTACCGATTCGCGCATTTCTTTCGATCGAGACCGAAGACGGACACTCGACGTATAGTCAAAATGACTAGTTCCTACGATAATAACGATAACGGAGGAGAAGGTTCCTTACGTTCTCTCCCTACTTCTCGCTAGTAACACAATCCTATTTCTGATAGTTAGGGACAGCAATATTATTAACGTAGTCCTATTAGACGGATACGTATATAGGGGACTGATCTTCCGGAAGTAAAGGAGATTAAGCTTAATAAGGGTATTAAATTGGCTCTTAATAGTAGTAATCTAGTAAGATAGAAACGATAGATTATTAATAGATTGAGTATAGCGCGAATTAATTAGGTCGCCGACTACAATCTTCCTCGTCCTACCGAATTCGATCCCGATTATGATCTATAGAGATACTAGTCGAAGATTTCTAGTAGATAGATCGAAGGTCTTCTAGATTAGAAGATTATTATAACTCTTAAAGGATATATAAATAGTTTCCCGATTTACGCCGATTATATACTACGTAAAGTCGAGTCTATTGTTCGTAGTACTAGTATTATTAATAATATAAGACGTAAGGTGATTAAATTCGACGAGATAAAGAGATCATACTTTAGTTCTACTAAGGACTATATTAATACCTATTAGACCTAATATAACCAGCTTAGTATATATAAAGTCGAATCTTATCTATTCGGAGCGTTATTTATAATACTTCGACAATTAGAAGGTAAACTCAAATCGGTTACGTTTACCTACGAGACTTTAAAAGACAAGATGCTAGATTCTATTATAAAGGAGGTTTTTGGCGATATATATAAGGTATTAACGATTAAAGTACGCGATATTCCTATTTTATTATCGTTCGACCCGGAAGCTTCTACTAACGTTATACGAAATAATAATAATAATAATTAACGTAGAGGTAGAATAAGAGGTCGAGGCCGTAGTAGCAGAGGTCGTAGAGGTAATTTATATAACTCTAGATCGGATAATAATAATAAGGATAATTAAAATAATTAGAAGGAATAGTATTAAGGTACGAAGAATACGCCGCCTAAGGGCAAGTCGATTAACGAATAGGCGGAACAGTAGCGCAATCAATAGCTATAATATATAAATGGTTTAGAATATACCTACTATAGATATACTAGATATCCTACTAAGATATATTTCTACCTAATAAAGGATCTACCTATAGAGAGATAGAAGCCGCGTAGTAATACTTAGTACTATACAACTATATATAAAGGAAAAGGTAAGGCTAGTATTACTCGTACTAATATAGCTCGTTCTTTAGAGGATAACTAGATGATTGATAGTAGTACTTCTAAAACAATCACTAGATATCGTAAGGACTTCTACGAATACTTAACTTATAAGCCTAGTAAGGAGCTATATAGCTATACGAATACTAATAGTAAGGTCTAATTAGCAATTAGTTATAGCAAGGCGCCGATTCAAATTAAGAATTTAGAAGGTAAGATTAAGATAATTCTTATTAATGCCTACTATAATATAGCAACTAACGATCGTCTACTTTTATCTAATGCTCTTAAAGCGGATTATAATATCTATTATAATCTAATTGTTTTAAAACTAGTTTATAAGAATAGGGAGGAAGTTGGATTAGTAAAACGGTTTAATAGTTTACCCTAGATTAATAGCCTACTCTATTAAGGAGTGATTCTAGAGAAGATATAACAATCTTCTATTTAAACGACTTACTTCTATAAACCGAATTCTTCTAATTTAGACTTAGATTTAGATAAAGAGTTTGATCGAATTAATAAGTCTATTTCGACTTACGAAATTTATCGTCGACTTAGTTATATAGGAAGACCGTATATTAAAGCTTCTCTTTCTAATGCTATTCTTCTAGAGGAAGGAGACTAGGTTAAACTTTATAATTTTAACTATAAAGCTTATTAACTTAGTAAAGCTAAGAAGTAGATTTCTCGGGATATATAACAACGTATAGAGAAGCTAGGTATAAAGTTTTATACGGATATATAAATTATAAACCTATCTAGACCTTATAGTAAACGTTATTAGGTGCTAATTGTCGATAACTATACTCGATATACCGAAGGACTATACTTTCGAACTAAGGAGGAGATTATACCTTATATAATTGCTTTCTATAAGAGATAGAAGATTCTTCGTAGACGTTACCTAGCTTTCTAGCGGATTGACGGAGGAACTAAATTCTATAAGTTCTAGTTATAGGTAGAGGAAGAAGGTATAGTTTTTAAAATCACCCCTACCTATATACCTAAACCGAATAGCGTTATAGAGCGTATAGGTAGTTATATTAACTAGATTTAACGTATAATAAATATAGACGCTAAGCTTCCTAAATAGCTTTAGCCTTATCGAGTAGATACCGCAATTTATATTTATAATCGTTTAGTTAATCCGAAGACTACGAAGATACCGATTATCTCCTAGTAGGAGGGCCTTAGTCTTAGTAAGACGAGGGTTAATTTGAAATATCTTCGTATATAGGGTGCTATTATATTTGTCTATATTCTAAGGGAGATACGTATTTAATTAGAGAAATTAGCTGCTCGTATATTTAGAGGATACCTAGTTGGTTATAAAGGTGAGAATAGTTATATCTTTAAGGTATAGAATCCTACTTCGAAGGAGATTGTTTGTTTATAGGACGTCACTTTTCCTAATAAACTTAATCTTAACTCTTCTCGATCGGATAACGATCTAAAGAGGGGTATTTTAGCTAGAAAGCCGGTACTTAAGGATCCTGATTTAGGTGATAACGCCGGGGCACTTTATAAAGAAAGTAGTCTATATATTCTAGATTTTATAATTAAGAAAGGCAAACAACCTTACGAAGGTCCGAAGGTTATAATTAGGCCAAAGCTAGTTCCGTAGGTTTCTATTACTAGTAGATAGCTAGAGGTAGTAATTTAGGTTTTAAGACCTATGATTTAATAGAAGCAAGCTTCTATAGGTCTAGATATACTAGGAAGAGTATAGACTATACTACTTATATTAAGGCCGTTAACTAGAATATAGGAGATCGAGGATCAATCTCTACTTCGATAACCGAATTTCCGGAAATAAGTTAAACCGGCTTACCTTCTACCGCTAAAGAGGTAGATTGTTTAGTAGCCAATTTATTAGTTAGTTCCTTAGTTAATACGTCGACGTCTAGTTCTTCAATTATAGGTTTATAAGATAATTCGACGTTATATAGTTAATTATATAGACGGTAGACTATTGCTTCCGCTAGTCCTACCGTAGCCTAGAAAATAGGCAGTGGTATCTCCGGTTTTAGAGGCTATTCTAGAGTCTCTAGTTATTCACTAGTCGATCGAGGAGGATAACGGTAAAGATAGTAAAGATAGTAAGTATAATAGTTTTATTTATTAAGGATAGTATATATAGCGAGCTACTCGTAATATAGAAGTTCCTATATAATAGGCTGTTCCTACTTCTCCTTAGCATTTACCTAGAGTATTCCGAGAAGACACTCTATAGGAGGTTTCTCCGTAGGAGATTTCTTTATAGGAGATTTTTCCGTAGGAGGTTTCTCTATAGGAGGTTTCTATATAGGAGGTTTATAATCTTATTGTTTTAGAGGAAGAGTAGGTAGTAGTTTAGCCTAGTTCTTATTAGGTTTCTAAGCCTATTTTTGAACTATATATAGAGACGGTTTCTAAGGTCGAATTACCTCGGGAGGTCTTAGTTAAAATAATTACCGATAGTTCTATTACTGAGATAGCTTTTATTCTACTAGAATACTTTATTCCCCGACGGTCGAGCCGGACGAGACGATCGCTAGAATAATATAGTTTTCCTACGGAACTTACCGAGACTAT